GGCAGACCTTTTCCCTCCATCTCTCCCTCTCGCTGCACTGCTCCGCATGTATGCCAAGGCACAAAGCAGTAGGACGGCGATGCTGACTCTCAGGGAGTGTGTGGGTGTGGTTGCTGCATGCAAAGCTGTGAGGTGCGCCCAATCAGCCTATGTAACTACGAGGCCCCTGTATTCAGGTGGGGGGAGGGGAAAGAAGAAGGAGAAAAGCAAAGACAGGGCCGTTGACATTTGTTGAGATGTGATCGAAAAAACAGACTAGTAGTTTGATAGGTAGACAATGGGAGTCCGGCCAGCCGGTCGGGTGTCCCTCCTCCTCCTGCGGCCTCCTCCTTGTCGTCCCTTGCATCGCATCCATGCGCTTCCTCCCCCGTCACCGCCCCAATGGAACGAGCCAAGGAGCAGGGCCGCCGTGCGGTGCTGCTCGTCCGTCTATCCCCGGCATGTCCGCTTTTGTAATCGCCGTATCCCCTTTCTTTTTCTCCAAAGTGAGCATAGAGTATATTCTTTTCTCTATCACTCGGCTCGTGTCGATATCACGACCATGTTTAAGGGACACAGACACGTGAGCTCATCATTCCTTGATTAGGCCGTCGACATATTGGAACAAAGCTCACCTCTCCCTCGCCAGCCCGCCACATCTAGTCTGCAGCAGTCTTGATTGAGCAATATGCAATCTAGCGTCCCCCCCCGCCCGCCCCGGACGGCAAATAGGAACACGCGTCAGTCCAACCTATATGGCCCTCGGGGTCTGGGTAGGGATCGTGAAGGTGCAGCCTCGAAGTCACCAATCATGAAGGCGAGCACAGAGGGGGTGGGGCACTTTTGTGTCATTAGGCGACAGCAAGACGACTTCTAGATTCACTGCCCTGGGCGGGGGGTTTGGGTAGTTTGACTGACTGTGATTGCAATATCTGTCCTGCAGTACGCACAGAAACAAAAAAAAAAACAAATATTGCGCTGGTCGGCCGGCAACGTGCCACACATGGCTATATCCATGTGTACCGGATAGGTACCAACTCGGCTACCTGGGGAGCGGACCATTGTCTCGGGTGCCGGCCTCGTGGGCTCATCATGTGCCGAGGCCGAGGCCGGTGGCGGGCGATCGGGGTTTGGTTAAACCCGTGCGTGCGGGACAAGGAATGTAGTTAAGTAGACAGGTGTGTGTGTGTGTGTGTGGCATGTGTGTGTGACGGGCGAAGCATCGAATGTGCTTCCAGGAGCTGGGGACACCGTGCTTCTGCCCGAAAACCGCAATGACGCAGGAATGAAACGAAACAGAGCATGGCAGAGGTCTAGACCTATAGAACATGGAGTTTGGCCTTCACACCCACGACAAAAAAGAGGCAGTTCCACCGAAACAAGAAAAGACAGCGAGCACTATAAAAACAAGAATAGGAATAAACGCAGGAATTACGACAGGGATAACAAAAGCAAAAGGAATGATAACGGGAATAGGAAAAAATAGTAGTAATAACAAAAGGATCAACAGGAGTAAAAGGAACAACAAAAGCAAGATAAATGACAATCGGAATGAAAAGAAAAAGAAAACAAGAACAGGAAAGCGCATAGCATCAACAGCTTTGTTTGACCGGCCGTGATCGGATAGCCTCGACAAGGCCCCAATACCACCGCCCACCCACCCATCCGCACGGCCTTGCTTTTTTGTCCCCCCTCCCCCTCCCAGCAGTTTCGCGGTTCACAGCATCGCCGATGGCGGGGGACGGGTGTGGTGGTGGTGGTGGTAGGGGTTGGGTTGGACCACGAAATGCAACTTTGCGTCACTTGCTTCCTACCTCCTCCCTTCTTTGTACCTAGGTATATATGTAGCTGCAACCATCCGTCTTGGTGGGGCCCGGATCGAGCATGATGGGCTTCAAAAAGGTCGCGCCGAGCGACGGACAAGTGAGATAGGGGGAGGGGTGTGACGCAAGGGAACATTGAAGGGAGGCCACACAAAGGCAGCGAGGCTGTTGTCCTTGTTGCTCTGCATCGCTGCGGTGCCACCCGAAAACAGCCATGTCAGCACACAGCAACAGAGCCAAAGACAGCCACCCCCCGGCACCCGAGGTACACAGATGGCCGTTTCTTGCCAACCAGAGACGTGGCAAAGGCAACTAGACCCCCCGGCCTCGGGGGCATCGAATCAAGCAGGGCGACGGACGTGTCAGGCCTCGGGCTCGCCAAGTGGGAACAGGAAACTACGTAACCACGGTCCCTGGTGGACCGTCAAGGTCCTGATTCTTGGAACGTCGAAATCCAGAAACGGCTTCCCGAAAAGAGAAAAAAAAAAAAAGCGGCAAGAGGGTGGTATCAAAACGCACAGGCTCAATGAACCCCTCCCCAAAGAGTATGTAGTACATAAACAAATATAGTCTTGACATCTGTTGTTGGCTGTCTGGCCCCCACGCGGGCCTTCCGCCGGCCCTCCCAGTGTTGCTTTGTTCGCCGTTGTTGCTCCCCCGTAGTGGCGATCCGCCCGTCCACCCGTTGCCCAGCATTGACACGGCAGTTTCAAGTGGACTGCCCCGGGAATACCCATGGGAATAAGCAAGACCTCCAAAGCGATGGAGGGAGCATGTGCTATGTATCATACAAGGAATGGCTCGTACATGGCTAGCTGCGCTGCGGGTGGAAGATGCCGGACATGGAAAGTGGATGCGGATATTCGTCTTGCTTCTCCTTGGGCACTTTGCCATCTGGACTCATACGTGATTTCGGACCGACTCAGATAGGGCATGATAGGCTCCAAGACGACCGACACAGGAAACAAAACACCAAAACCAAAAACAAATCAAATCAAATAAAAACCAGGCCGACCTCGCCACAAAGAGTTCCTCCGTCCGCCCCTTAGCTATCGCCGGAAACACCCAAGAGCAAATGGATAAAGGGGGCCTGGGGGTGAGGGAAGGGTTCGAGGAATAGGAATGCTAATTTAGACAATGAACAAGCACCAACAAAACCCAAAACCCAAAAAGAATACCAAGTCATTACGGTCACTACCGTCGTCGTCCAACTTCATAATCACCTCCCCTTGGAGGATATCATCTCGCCGTACCGGCCACGCTGTTGAGTGGTGTCGTATGCTTGCAGCACGCGCGTCTGCGACTCGTCCGCCGCCGAGAAGGCGTAGCCGCGCTGCTTGCGCATGCGCTGGACTTGGCGGACCTTGCGAATGGCCTTTTGGAACTGGTCCATGCTGTAAAAAGGGGGAAGAAACAAACAACGTTAGCAGAGAACAGAGAAAACGAGACAAGGCGCAAGAGAAAAAAGGAGCAAGAGAAAAAAGGAGCAAGAGAAAAAGGGGGATACGTACCGAGGCCTGTAGTCCTGAATGTTGTACTTCTGGATCTCCTGGATGTGGTGGTACGCCTCGGGCCGGTACATGCGCTTGGCGTACTTCCAGGCAAGGTCGCGGGCGAGGCAGAAGGCGGGCAGGACAAGGAGCTGGATCCAGAAGACGGAGCTGGAGAAGAGGTGCGGCACGAGGCCAAAGTACTCGCTGGAGATGCCAAACTGCGGGAACAGGCTGGCGTAGCAGACGATGAAGACGACCCAGATGGCGAAGGAGCCCGGGATGGAGATGACGTGGTACTTTGTCCAGTTGCTGGTGATGAGGGCCGCCTTGCCCAGCACCGTCACGAGCACGGCGCCGTACAGGGCCGTTCCCCACACCCACTTGCCCGCGATCTTGCCGTCGTTGAGGATCAGGTCGTAGTACCAGAACACCACGCCGCCAATGTACAACGCGAGCGAGTGGTACATGGCCGTCGCGATCCACTGGGCAAAGTTCTTGAACTTGAAGGCGCGGTTCTGCTGCCCCGTGCAGTACAGCTGCGGGTACTTGTCCAGCAGCCCGGCCGACACGTACTGGTCCAGGATGCCCAGCGCCAGCGGCGGCAGCACCGTGAAGAGCACGTTGTAGAAGGACAGCGTCCACGACTCGTAGATGATTTGGCCCGAAAAGACGTTCATAAAGGTGTACCAGAACTGCGTCATGTAGAGCGTGATGTTCTTGTAGAAGGAGAAGAGGATGGCCTTGCTGACGCGCTGGTAGCTCCAGGCGCCGTGCACCAGCAGCAGCTTGCGCAGGAACCGGAACTGCGCGATCGACACGTCGGCGCTGCGCGCCGCCTGCAGACCCTCCATGCCGCTGATGCCGATGCCGATGTGCGCCGCCTGGATCATGGCCACGTCGTTGGCGCCGTCGCCGATGGCGAGCAGGATCGACTCCTTCTGATACTTCTTGACCAGCTTGACCACCAGCGCCTTCTGCAGCGGCGAGACGCGGCAGCAGATGACCGCCTTGCACATGACGGCCAGGTCCAGGAACATGCGGTCGAGCTCGGGCTCCAGAGCGTACGTCAGGGACTTGCCGTCGATGACGAGCGCCAGCGTCTCCAGCTCGATGGTCCCGTGGGCCTGCGTCCGGATCGCGTCGAGCTTCTTCTGGATGTTGTCGCGAGTCGCCGTCGCCGTCTCCTCGTTCACAATCAGAAGCGTCATGTCCTCGCTCAGCAGCTTGCAGCTCATGCCGATGTTGATGGCCGTCTCCTGCCGGTCGCCCGTCAGCACCCAGACCTTGATCCCGGCGTTCTGCATCGTGTGGATCGTCTCGGGCACGCCGTCCTGGAGCTTGTCTTCGATGGCCGTCGCGCCAAGAAGGTAAAAGTCGTGCTCGATGAGCTCGGCCGCCTTGTCCAGCTCCTCGGCCCGGTTTCCAGACACGGTCGTCTGCGCCTTTTCAAACACAGCGAGCCAGTCCTGGAACTCGTGCTCGGGGATCTCGCGCATGGACAGGCAGAGCGTCCTCAGGCCCTCCGAGGCGTACTCCTCCAGGTGCTGGAGCGTCACCTCGACGTGCGGGTTGCTCTCGTTGAGCCGCTCCAGGATCACCGTGTCGGCGCCCTTGCAGTAGATCCGGATCTTGCCGTCGGGGCAGCGGTAGATGGCCGACATGCGCTTCCTCGTCGAGTTGAACTCGCACACGGCCAGCAGCTCGTACGCCAGCTCCCGGCCTTCGACCTCGATGATGACCACGCGGGGCTTCCGCGCCGTGAACTTGAAGCCCAGATCGGCCGCGCCCTGCACGAGCGCGCCCTCGTCCGGCGAGGCCGCCTGGTACTTGATCTTGCCTGTCTTCTCGTCGCGCTCGGGGATGACGGTGTGGCAGGTCGCCAGCAGCGCCAAAAAATGCTCAATGGCCGGGGCCGTCTTGTGCGACTTGAGGTTCTGGCTCAGCTGCTTGAAGTCGTGTACCCCAACCTCCATGCCGTCCTGCACCGTGGCGCGGCGGTCCTCGGCTATGTCCTCTCCGTACATGATGCCGGCGATGGTGCACTGCTTGAATTCCATCATGTTGCACGTCAGGGTTCCCGTCTTGTCAGAGAAGACGTACTCGACCATGCCGAGCTCCTCGACCAGGCTGGACGTGCGGCAGTTGGCAGGCGTGTCCGTCTTGTCGTGGTAGATGTCGAGGTCGTCGTTGATGAGGATGCCGTGCCAGTACTTGACCACCTCGAGCGTGACAAAGAGCGAGATGGGAACGAGGGCGGAGAAGAGGACCCAGTAGGTGACCATGTCCCTAAGGATCACCTTGAAGACCTCGAGCGCGTCCACGGCCGAGGGGAGAAACAGGTAGCTGAGCTGGCCATCAAAGACCTTGCGCGTGACAAGATCGCCAACGGTACACACCACCGACAGGATGAGGAGGATGCCAACCAGGCCCATGACGGCAACGTTGAGCTGGCGCTCAACCTTTGTCCGCTTGATGGGCGTCGCCGTGGCGTTGCGCATGAGCTTGGTCTCGTGGCCGGTGAAGACGACTGCGCCGTGGATCCAGGGGGTGTTGCGGAGGGTGGCGCCTCGCAGCAGCAGCTGCTCGGGGTTCAGCGACAGCTCCTTCTCGCCGCCGCCGGCCTGCATGGTCAGGGTCGCCTCGTACGTGTACAGGCTGCTGTTGGGCTGCTCGGACCGGATCCTGCCGCCGAGCCTGCTCAGCTCGCTGGAGCTCATCAGGCCCGACGTCTCGGGGATGCCCTGCTTGATCTTGAGGTTCGTCTCGCCGTCCAGGTTCGCCGTCTCGATGTAACACAGGCCCTCGGGCTCTGAGCTGGCCAGGAGCACAATGTCGGCCGGGAAGGGCTCCTCGGATTCGACGCGGACGATGTCGCCTACGGAAACGTTGATCCACTTGGTCTCCTCGAACGTCGAGCCTCTCAGCACCCTGGCCTTGGACACGTTGAGGGCCTTGTCGGCCTGCTTTCGTCGGTAGTCCTCCACCATCTCCTTGCCGGCCGAGACCATGAGCACAACGATGAGCGGGCCGATTGTGGTGTACTTGTTGGTGGGGGATAGGTCCGGGATCTGCTGCAGCATGGCAGTGAAGAGGAAGAAGATGTTTGCAAATTTCGAGAACTGCTCGTAGAGGAACTTGGGCAGAAAGGTGGCGACGTTGTACTTTGCCGTCGACACGTGGTTGTCGATGAACTTGCTAGGCGCGTTGGCGGGGGGGTTGTTGAGGTGGATGATGCGTGGGCCCAGGGTCGAGGGATCCGGCTTGGAGCGGCCGAAGCCGAACTTGAAGTTGCCCATGTCGAACTTCTTTCCCTTGCTCTGCTGCTGTCCCTGATCGTGCGGTTGCTGGCCTCGATCGCCGCCGCCCATGTTGGCCCTTTGTTGTCCTCCCGGCTCCGTCAAGGGAAGGTCCATTTCTGAGTAGCCGGCCTGCCCTCCCATGCCAAACATATTCTTAGCGCGGCCTAGCATGCCGCCGCCCAAACTCAAGACGCTGTTCCTCTGACGTGCGTCGTCACGATTTGGGTTCGCCCGGGCGTCTGCGGGTCCATTGCCACCGTGCTGGTAGTACGAGTGCGCCTCCTCCTGGTAGTCATCCAAGTCGTCGGCGTATCTCTGGTAGTTGTTCAGGTCCGACGTCTGGCTGTAGTTGCGGTTCCGGCCCGTGTTGGACGTATACGGTCCCGACTCGGGCGCGGCCGGCGCAGACGGGCCTCCTCCGGGCGCCGACGGGCGTCTTGCCGACAGAGGCGAGGTGCTGGCGTGGGCACCCTGGCCGCCGGCTCCAACAAAGTCGTCGTACGAGATGGACGGGCGGCCCTGCGTGGGGTCCTGGTTATGGAAGCGCAGAAGGTCGTCGTCGTTGATGTCGGATCGCTGGCCGCCGCCGTAGACGGGCTGGTCGTTGTCGAGGTCGAGTAGGAGGTCGTCGTTCGGTCTTGCGGCACCGGGCCGGCCGGCCGGTGGTTGACCAGCCATAGTGGCCGATGTGCCGCTTCCGGCGCTTCAGTTTCAGCCCCGACTGGGCAAGGCGGGCAAGGTGGGCAGAGGATGTCGAGGTCCCCTCGTTGTCAAGTCGGGCTGTTTATGACGGACGGCGTGACAACATGCGGAAAGGCGTGCCGGGTTGTTGGTTGGTGATGTAGAGCGTGTGGTGCCGTGGATGAAGCTCAACTGTGTTGGGAGCGTGGTTTTTTTCTTGTCGCGAAAATCAGCAACGACCAGCGTGGGTGGGCTGGACGCTGAGACTTGACGTGACGGTTGCGTTCAGGGATGGTGGCACGGTGGGTATGTGCTGGCCAATTCCGTCGTGTGCTAAACCTAGGCATGCACAGCCTCGTTATTTTTTGCTTCCTTGGAGTGGGAGGTACCTGGCAGCGGCGGGCCAGTAAGCAATCGGGAGGACACGAGGATAAAACAGGGTCCAGTCCGGTCCAGTCCCAAAGCCCAATGTGCTCCAGATAAACTCGCACGTGTTGCTTCTTCCCTTACGCGATATGGCAGCTCCCGCAAAAGGACATAATCACCTCGAACAGACAAAGGGCCAAAGGTCAAAGACCGGACAGTGGGTGACATGAGGGACATGAGGGACATGAGACGATGGATGCGCCAAAAGCCAAGAGGCGGTGCCTTGAGGACGTCACCACAGTGAGGCGCTGCGCAAACTGGATTACACAGCTGCGGGCCCCTGCCAAGAAGGACGGCGTCTGGTGGCAACCCAGCCACGCCATCCTTGCCCCAGCCAGGGGATGGCTAGGTACCAGTGACGCTGCCCTGGGGCGAGTAGAAACAGGCTGCCGCGCCGCATTTGGGCTGCTTCCAACAGCATTCGCGTCCCCAGCACCACCCCAGCACCACACCATGCATGCTTCATGTGGCTGTTGCCCGTCTCAGCCTCATCCGCCTCCAGCCCAAATCTCCAGCTGACCTGGCCGACTGTGTATCGATACGCGGACAGCACTCATTGCAAACTCTCGTCAACTCAACCCCTGGCATCGGCTGCACTGTAACAGCCATCATGGTTTGCGCAAAGTGCCAGAAGCTGTCCAAGACGACCTTGGCGACGCCGGGCGTGAAAAAGAAGTCGGAAATGTACTACGGCTCGCCGGCATCGTCCTCGTCTGCGTCCAAGTCATCGGCGACGCTGGGCCAGACGGGTGTGTCCAAGGTTTGACCTCCCGTTGACCCCAGGAGAATCCTCAACAAACAGTCCTAATATGGCCTATCTGTGCAGAGCAAACTGTTGTCAAAAGGTGCCAAGAATCCGTATGCTCAGTATTCAAGGTATAACTCCACTGTCCACCGCCAGTGCCCTCTCCTCAGTCCAAAGCCCAGGCCCTGACCAGACCCATTTAGCTCCTGTGACAAGTGCAAGACCAAAGTCTCGCAGGGTCACAAATTCTGCCACTCTTGCGCATACAAAGCCGATGGTATGTCAATCAGCTTGTGCCTGCTTTTCAATCTCGTATCCGCCGCTGACCTATCAAACCCAGCCTGCGCCATGTGCGGAAAGTCCAACTCAAAAGCCAAGACCGGCGCCGCTCCCATTATCTCGGGGCAGAAATTCTCGTCAAAGTGAGAGTACCTGGTCCGCAAGTTGGCCATTGCAGCAGCACAAGCTGTCGAGGAACTCGCAAACGACATTAGATTGCGTTTCGGCTGCTGGATATCGAGACTCTCTAGCCTATAGTCTATAGGCTATAGGATCGCCAGCAGCCGGCAGGGCCATCGCCGACTCATCGCGTTTTGATAGGCTCGGCTCCTAGTAGGATACAGAGACGGTACTGTGTAGAATCGCCGTCTGGTGCCCTAGACGCCACTTGTGCATCAAGACGACGTGTTGCCAGTCTACACCATAATTATAGGGGACGGAGCACTCGAGCACGATCAGGGGCGGAATGTTGTCAGGAATTTACTCTCGTCACTAACCAGATCCGCTTTCTGTTTTGCGTCAGGCCGTTTTCCCACGCCGATCACTAGAGAGTCCTTCCCTGCTCCTGCTCTCCCTCAATAAAGATGATTGTTTTGGTTCTCATAATGTCATTTTCAGAATTTCCTTGGTCATAAAGCAGTGCTCAGTCGTGATCCGCCCCATTCATCTTTCCCCTTTTGCTTATATCGAGGCCTTGGGCCGAGTCACCCGGTCCACAAACTCCTCAATCTGCCTGTTGACCTCTGCCGAGGCCTCGGTCAGGGCCCAGTGCGAGGCATCGACGCGGCCCCTCGACAGGTTCACAAAGTGGGCGTCCATGCCGGCCGACATGGCCTCGGGCAGGGCGGCGTCGCGCGTGGCCGAGATGAAGAGCGCGGGCGTCTGGATCTTGAAGTCCTTGCCGCGCGCGTAGAGCCCGCGGTCCTCGTCGAAGTTGACCCTGCGCGAGCGGTACCAGTTGGTGGGCCCGCGCAGGCCGTTGCGCGAGTACTGGTCGGCGTAGAAGTCGAGCTCCTCGTCCGACAGCAGGCGCGACGTCTCGAGGTCGGCGATGTGGCCGAACGGCACACCCGTGTCGACTGAGAACGGCTTCCCGTCGCTCCCCTCCTTGGGCCTGCCACCCCACAGGCAGTTGAGGAACTGGCGCACCGCGGGCTTGCCGCCCTCGGCCGTGCGCTTCACCACCTCGTCGCCCGCAAACTGCAGCTGGTACCTGAAGTTGGGCAGCACCTGCGTCACCTGCGACAGGTCGTAGAACTCTCCCTGGGGCGGGACGTAAGGGGTGCAGACGCTGAAGACGCCCAGCACGCGGTCAGGGTGGTGCTCGGCGAAGCGCCAGACGAGCATGCCGCCCCAGTCGTGGCCGCCGATGACGACGCGCGGCTCGGTCGGGAAGTCGGCGTCGAGCAGCGCCGCGAGGTCGTCGCTCATGCCCTTGGAGCCGTACGCCTCGACGGCGTCGGGCGCGTCGGTGCCGCCGTAGCCCAGCATATCGGGTGCCACGACCTGGTAGCCCGCCGCCTGCAGCGCCGGGATCTGGTTCCGCCAGCCGAACGAGAGGTCCGGGAAGCCGTGGCACAGCAGCACCGTGGCCTTGTGCGGGCCCTCGGGCTTGGCCAGCAGGTAGTGGTAGTTCTTGCCCCGCACCATGACGTTGCGGTGCTCGACCCGCGGGTCGTTGGGCGTGAGCTTGGCCGGGGCGCTCATTGCGGCGATTGCTTATCGGTCGGCTTTTGTGGTTGTGTTGTGTCTGTGGGCTGGTTTGAGGGGTGTGGCCTCTATCTCACCGATCGAGTGCTCCCCGCAGGTGGACTAAAACCCGGTGGTACCCTGCCGCTTTATATGTGCTGGTGAAGCCGCGATTATTATGGGGCACTGACGCCAAGTCGGGGTACCACACCACTCGAGGCGGTGGGTAAACCGGCTTCCTCGGGCCTCGGCGGCCAAAATCAGGTCAGTGTTGCATGAGACGCATCGTCTACAGTGGGCCCAGGAATACCGCATTATATTCGCCATGCTGTTTCCATGTCTTGTGTGATCGTCAGCGCCATCCAACCGGTCGAAAACTCAGCAACTAGGTAGATAGACAGGCCAGTCCCGCACATAACCCGGTCACGATTATCAATCACACATATCACATTTTGATCCATTGTTGTGCCCCCAACGTGGCCTTGTAACGTCGCACACCATGGCAAAAGAAGACTCAACAAGCAATAGCATGACCCTTCCTATATATCGTCTGATAAGACCTCACAAGGCTTGCTGAACTAGACCAATATATACATCGCAAACCCGTCCTTACGTGAGTACCCCCGGGCCGCCTTGGCGGCACTAGGCCGGTGGCATTCACACTATGGAATATGGGTATTAGAGCGGAAACTACAAACGGGCCGCACCGCGATATTGCACAGCTCAATAAACCAAGGTATCCTCCTCCGTCATCACCACATCGCCGTCACAGTCGTTGCTCGAGCCATGTTGAGGAGGGGGAGGCGCGGGGTTAGTAGCAACTGCAAGGCTCGTGTTGGCGGGGGCTTCGGTGCGAGGCTCGCCAGTCATACCTTCATTCTTGATGGTGGGTTGAGGCGACGGGCATCGCAGCTCCGCCAATTTCTTCTGCTTTTTGCGCTCGAAAGCGCGCCTCTCCCGGTTCACCATCTCCTCGGCATCGAGGACCTGTCTGCCGACAGCATCCTCTTGCTTCCTGGTCATCTCCCAGGGCCGAAAGTACTGCGATCCAAATCAAGGTTAGTACGGTGTTGGAAATCAAGTCAAGCGACGGGCCTCTTACAATCGGGGGCCCGCTCCTCGTCTTGAGGCTGTGGGCTTGTGCCATGATGTTTGAGTGGCGTGTACGCATCTTGGCGAGCAAAAATACAAAGTGTTAGTAAGTCTTCTCGATGTGGCAGTGATGAACAGGAGTATCGTCATACCGCGCGCTCCTCAAACCCGATCTGCTCAGCCTTCCGGATCGGCTCCAGCCTCGCGAGGTTCTTCTTACGTTCCTCCTCCACGGCCTTGCGTTCCTCCTCTGCGGCCTTGCGTTGCTCCGCCTTCTCCTTCTGTCTGCGCTCGATCTCGTCGCGGTGCTTTTTCTGCGCGGCTCTAGGCTCGCGGTTTAGGCTGCTCAGAAGGCCCCTGAAAAAGCGTTTGCCACGCTGCTTCTCCTCTGCTGAGAGCGACGGTCGGCTCTCTGGCTCCTGCCGACGCTCACGTTGACGCTCGGGCTCTCGCGGCGGCTCCACCCGTCCCCTTGACGCATATTGGTGGTAGCGGTCCATGCCGCGGTGTCTGTCCCGATCGCGCTGGCGATCATGGTCCCGGCCGCGATCACGTCGCCAGTAAGGGCTACGACTGCGCGATGGCGAGCGACTGCGACGCCTTGGCTTCTTTGGCATGAAGCCATCTTGGACACTATGAGAAGGAGAAGAAGCCTTTCTCTTCAGAAGCCTGTCTTCATAATGATCTTCCAACGTGATGTGAGGATCTTTAGACATGCTGATGGGGTCGACCAATGACTTGGCGTCGGGGCCGGGTCTGCTTTCCATTGGTATGGTCGCTAGGCTTTGCGATGCGAGTATGACTAGTCCTTACAGCTGGCCAGGCGGCATAGCGCAGATATCGATGGTGCTTGTCTGAGGTTCAATATGACGAAGCTGTCGGGTTCAATATTGACAGAACAATGGGTGGTCCAACAACCAGAAAAAAGTGCTGGGTTATATGGGCAAGGCTGTCGGGGTTAATGTAAGCAAAAAGTGTAGGGTTGAGTATCGAGGAAGCTGTAGGTCCAATATCGAGAAATTGGAGGTTCAATATCAACAAGGTTGGGTAAGGTTTCAAGTTTGGTATCGAAGCAGCCGTGTTTGCTTGCGTCGGCTTTAGGTGATGTGTTGTCGTGAATAATTGCAATGAGCTGAATTGGATTTCTGCAGGCTTCACGTGGGCAGTATCAGGAAGCACGCGGGGGGAAGGCTCTGAGAGGTTGATGCATCGTATCAAGTGTGATGTTTTGTCCGCGGCCCGCAGAGAAGCTCCTCCGGGAGCTCTTAGCTCCTGCAGCCGACACGTTCGCCCCACCAGCCCGCCCGCCTCCCCTGCATCCTAGCATGACGCACGCCCTGTGCGGCCCTGCTGACTTTCCCAACAGAGAACCGCGTCGAATTTTCCAACCGTCCAGGTGAGCAGGGAATAAGACGGCAGGGCGCGTTGAAAATCGCCATCCTCGCCCACATCACTCTGTGTCCTATACCGCCCGCCCATCTCTACGCCCGCCCACCCGCTCACAAGCTTCCTAGTCTTGCCATCGCAGTCTCTCGACAGAAGCGCAGACGACGAGCAGCACACCACGGTGCTCCCGACGAAACAACACGCGCACGCAACCCGATCTCCCATCTCCCACAGCCGCCCGCCCGCGAGCCACGCGCCGTTCCTGAACCGCAGCCATGTCGCGACACCACCCCGATCTGGTTATGTGCCGGAAGCAGGCGGGCGTCTCCATCGGCCGGCTCTGCGACAAGTGCGACGGCAAGTGCCCTGTCTGCGACTCCTACGTCCGCCCGACCACGCTCGTGCGCATCTGCGACGAGTGCAGTTTCGGAAACTACCAGAACAAGTGTGTCGTGTGCGGTGGAGAGGTGAGGCGAATATCCATCCCCCTCGGGGCCCTTGGCTGTCTGGTTTGGCGTCTGTCTATTCCTGTTGCTAATCCTTCTCCCTCGCCCATAGGGTATATCGGACGCCTTCTACTGCTTCGAGTGCACACGCTTGGAAAAAGACAGAGACGGTTGCCCCAAGATTATTAATCTTGGAAGCTCTAGAACTGATGTAAGCCGATACGCTACTCTGAAAGTCTTGAGCCCATCAGGACCGGTGCTGACACCCCATTACAGCTATTTTACCAAAAGAAAACAAACAGGACATACTGACCTCGGAGCGGCCCGGCCTTGGGCCGCACTGCGTCGTATGTCCTGTATGAGCTCTGGACGTTTTCGGGGCACTATGATGGGATCCTCCGGGTCATGTATGCTTGGCGTTATCCGGCGTTATAGAGTGTGAATTTGCAAGACGAGGATAAGAAAGGCATCTGGTTCTTCATTGAGATATCACCTAGATGAACAATAAGAAGGAACGGCGCGCACGCCAACGCAGATCTTATTGCCCATTTCCCCATGTACGAATGGTTCCCAGATCTAATGGTGGGGAGAGTACCATGTCGCGACGCGTAGAACGTAAAACGAGCATGCAAGCTCGTAATGATATCTTCCTACCCAGGGCGTGGGCTACCGTAGCTCAAAAAGGCGTCCGTTTATCTGCAGATACGGCCTCAAAATGAACAAAGATCCCTCAAGACGGCCCCCATTACCGCTTTCAGGTCATGTAGATATCGATGGCACCCCCGCGAACGGTTCGGATCTTGCCGCCGAATATCTTGAAGAGCGGCGAGTTCCACGGCTGGACCTCGTGCCTACTTGCCGAGTCATCCATCTCCTTGGCCTCTACAAGGGCACCCTTCTCGAGCGCTGCAGTGCTGGCCGGGGTGCAGAAGGGACCCGGACTGGGGACAAGGGACATGGCGGCGACGTAGCCATCGACATCGGCATCGACGAGGCTCGGCTGCATGAGCTTTCCGGCCACAGCTGGGCTCTCCTCGAGGTCGATGAGCATGAGATTCGGTTCTTGCTCCAGCGCCTCGTCGCGGCTCTCCTCCAGGTCGATGAACGTGGGATTCAGTAGTTGCTCTAGCGCGGTTGCAGGCGTTTGCAGACCGTGTTGCTGATCAGCGGGTGTGTCATCGCCGGACGGACAGCGCGGGGTATATAGAACGAGTGCGCTTGCTTGGCCAATCAGTGGGATGGCATTGGTGGTGGAAAGGCCATGCTCAGTCTCCCCATGTTTGGAATGGTTCACACTGCCAGTCTTCTCGAGACTCTCCTAGGTCTTGAGAAGCTGCCGGTCTTGGCCCAGCTTCCATGAGAACTTCAGAAATGCCACGGCGGTGAGCCAGCCTTTCCAAAAAGTCAGCATACTTGTCGCAAGACTTTACAGGCTCCATGGTTGAGTTGTACTCACTGTCGTAACCTGCTTCATGCGCAACCCTGATGGATGGCATGGGCGGAGCGATCAGAGGAAGCTCCAGGTTCTTGACCATTTTGTAAAGTTGTCCCAGAGAGATATCAGGGTCGAACTCATGTCTACCAAGAGTCACCATGAACTTGGTGTCGACAAGCCGCGGGAAAGCTTGGAGATCGAGCTTGAACTGAGTTAGGGTCCGCGGCAAATCTCCAACGAAGGACTGGTAGAGGAAGCACAAATCCAAGAGCGAGTTGTGGAGGATAAGCACTCTAGCTCTGGTCTTTGTCTTTTTCTCGATGCTGCGAAGTTTACGCCTCATTTCGTCCATCTTGTCTTGCGAGTGAGCTCCAGGTTCGAGCAGCAGCTGGACGTCGATCTCTTCTGCGAAATCGCCGCCGGCCAGTGCCTCGAAGACGTAACGGAACCCTGGCAGTGCGTTAGCTGGCGGAACCGACAGCGTTTGGGAGCGAGAAAGAGAGGTGACTAGAGGCAGGAAGTACAACGCACCTGTCTGGTGCCGGACGGCCAGTTTACGATCGCGCATTTGGCGAGAAAGAGTCTGCCATCTATTAATACCGCAGCCCTAAAGTCGTGGTCGAGTTGGGGCTTACTTACTTTCTCTTGATACTTGTCGGCACCCTTGATCGTGATCTGCATGAACAAGCAGTCACCCTTGCGCTTGCCTCGGAGGCCATATTCCTTGAAGTCGGTCTCGAGCAACTGGTAGATCAGTCTGGTCTGCAGCGAGGTCAGGCGATCACCCTCTGGGTTCTCGATGTTGATGAAGTGTTCGCCGCGCTTGAACAACCAGTCGGTTATCTGCTTGCGCACACTAGCGCAAAAGTCGCGAACCGTCGGGGACTCTCCGTCGATGTTGATGAGAGGAGTGTTCCTCGCGTCTGGGTCGACAAAGTTATCATAGGCATCCTGAGCCTCCTGCCGGCTCAGATACGTGATGCCCTTGCTCAGGACCCGGGCCGGGAGATCATCGCCCCGGCTGGCGCGCAGGAAGCTGGCCGTGTTGCCAGAAAGCGAAAACCTGCGGTCTAGGAACTTTGCGAGCGCAAGATTGCCCGCCTCGTTGCCAAGATACCACGGCGCGAGCTGGAAGCTGTAGCCCTTCCAGTGGTAAGACTCTTCATGCGGGGCAAGGCGAGAAGTAACATAAGCAACAGATCGGCAAAAGGCAGGGCAGGGTTTATGGGAAGGGAAAGGCGACAACAGCACTCACTATCCTCTGGCCCGTATCGAAGACAGGTGATTCCCACTTCGAGAATCTGGAAGGCTTTGGCGGCCTCGGCAGCTTCGACGTAACACTGCTCGGCCATGAACTTCACTTTCCGGCCAAAGATCCCGTCCCTCAGACGGACGCCCGTCATCTCGAGGTCGAGGCCGATAAGCTCTGCGGCCGCGATATCTTCGAGCACTGCTGGAAGCAGGGACCAAAAATTGTCCGCGTCTATCGCCGTGATTTCCCGGGCGGACTCCATTATGGCGGCCTAGGGCGCCTGATATCGGCAAGGATTTCGATGTCGACTTGCTGGAGGAGGTGGATGACTGGATCTAGGCGCCGCTTGCCAAATATGGAAGTTCATCGCCTGCCAAAAGCGGGGGTTTCCCCAGACTGATCCACCTGCGCGGTCCCCTTGGATCTTGTTCGGGATCGAAAGGGGTTGGTGGCGAGACTCCAACATATGCCCTTTTTCGTCCTTCCTTTTCTTTTTGACTTTCTGTATATATCCCCAAACAGGGCTGTCGCACAGCATTGGCAATTCTAACCATCAAAACCTATGGAATTGCCGCACCGAGACATGACGGACCCCCAATAAAATCCGTGGTTTATAGTCCGCCAATACTGGATGGAATGGAAATGCGTTTGCCTATGATTCAGCCCATCTCTCGTCAACTCTTGACCGCTTGCTTAAGGTACATACAAGGCTCGTGGTTTCCCCCGGGTTTGGCTCATGCAAAATGCAATGTCCCGCGGGCTCGGCGTCATCCCTTCTAATAAGTGTGGATGGGACCCCGTATAATGCGTCTTGGTCACCTGCTGCGGAGGGGTTCCCAATCCGGAACTCCCGAGTCCTGGACCGCGGCTCCCTGCACGACGTCAGAAGCCTGTTGACAATCAGGGGAAGTGCATGATCAGGCGAAAGGGCGGGCTGTGAGGCTGGAAGCTAGAGACATTGTAGCTGGTGGTTGTTTACGACCTATGTGCAACTGACATGACAACACGAACTCTGACTGGGCTGATTATTCACAGCGGGAGAAAACAAAGGCAAACCGGAGACGGCTTGAGCACGGCGATTTGCCCGCGCCGACGCACAGGTAATCTCCGGGCTGGGGCACATTCCGCGATGGGTAGCGGAGAGTGGAGGGAGGGGGCTGGCAGAGGCAGAGGCCCCCTGCCCTTTTCGATCAAAACGGCTTCGTCATTTTGAGCCGAGGCAAAAGACCGACTCGCTCCAGCCATGTGGCCTGGCATTTTTCTGCTCTCCCCACACAACCTAGCCGGGAAACCCAGCCTAGAATCGGGCGACGCGATGCACGCCTCAACCACCAGCTGCTCGCGCTCGTTGAATTGCTGAGCTCAATGACAACCGACAACCTCGCACACGCCATTCTGCTCCCTACAGTGCCGACACATGCTTGTTTAATCTGTTCAGCCCGTGGGAGCACGACAGGGAGTGTTTTTGCTGGATTTGTTTAGTTACCAAACACCAGCCATCATCGAGTACGCGCCTGTACACGAACTCTCACTTGTCATCACTGCCTAACAAACAAAGCATTACCGATTCGGCCACGCCAACCGCAGGCGACACAGGCCGCCACGACGGGCCTCGAAAAAACATCGACGACGCAGGCCGCGTCCAGCTCCGTCACGCAAGCCACCACAATGGCCTTCCCTGGGTCACCCACCGCTACTCTCAGCCCGACGGCTTCCGAGGCCTTCAACTTCAGGTCCTCCATCTCGTCCTTCGCATCGTCCAACTCGTCGCGCCACTCGACCTCGAGCGTCTCAAAGTCGTACCGCCAGGCATCGACCCTCTTCCTGACCCGACGACTGCCCGAGGCCCTGTCGACCGTCCTGCCACTTGTCACGCCGACCCCCGTGCCCGGCGAGGATGATGCCGTGGAGCCTGCCCCGGTCGCGAAAGCCTCACGGACGACTAGAGTGAAGGTGTGGAGCTTGTATCTCACCACCCTGAACGCAATTGTTGAGCTGCACCCAGAGGAGGGCAAGGCCAGCTTCGGCACTCAGGAGTGGAGGGCAATCTGCACAAAGGTGCGCGATGGCGCCATCTGGGAGGAGGTGGTCAGGAATGGATACCACGGCGTCGAGGGCGACGTGGACTCGGACGTTGTAATCAACTTGTAAGTTGCCTAACACTGCCGACTTGGTGCTCTGTTTTATGTTCCCGCCTCTGCTTTTTGTTACTGACAACCACATCCAGGGCCACCCTCCTTCTCGCTCACGCCACAAACCAGAGCCTGAACCAGAAGAAGCTCGAGAGCTACCTCGCGTCGTCCAACGCGCCCAACCTCGACCTCTCGAGCAGGTTCGGCGGCACCCCGGCCGCCCCGTCGACGCCGCGGCGCAGGCACCGCTCGCCCATCAAGAACTCGTCGGCCAGCGGCGCCGACACGCCGCGCGACCTCAACGCGCGCGTCAAGATCCTGGAGCTCTACACGCTGCACGTGCTGATCCGCAACAACGAGTGGGACTACGCGCGCGAGTTCATCAGCGTCAGCTCGGTGCTGGACGAGGAGCGCCGCGAGGCCTTCCTCCAGGCCCTCTCGAGCCTGCAGGAGGAGCAGCAGGAGCAGGAGCGCCAGGAGCGCGCCGAGCGCGAGCGCCAGGAGGAGCGCCTGCGCGAGGACCTGCACGAGGCCCGCCGCCTGCGCGCCGAGAACGAGGAGCACGAGAGGCGTCGGCGGCTCGAGCAGCAGCACGACGACCGCCTCCGCAGGGAGGGCGGCAGCAGCGAGGTCGACTACGGCATCGAGTCCACCCCGCGCGCCGCCGTGGCCAAGCATCGTCACACGCCCAGCAGTGGCGGCGGAGGAGGAGGAGCGGGAGGGGTGAGGCGCAAGTCCTCGGCGCACGCGCACGCGTCAAAGACGCACGACAAGGCAAAGGCGAAGGCGACGGCTCCCCTCTCGGTAGGGGCCCGCGCCGCAATCATAATATCTAATATCCGAAGGCTGGTCGTCGAGGGCATGACCTCGTCAATACAGTCCAACCCCACGGTGGTGCTGCGCATGCTGGCCTTCATAGTCGGGCTCCTCGCCATGCTCAGCAACCAGAGGATCAGGGAACGGGTGTCGCGCATCCTGAGGACCTCGTGGGACAAGGTCAAGACCACGGCCCGCATGGGCGCCACGGCCACGTATCTTTGAGCGTTCCAGTCTCTTCCTTCTCTTCACGCTTTTCTTATGGCCTCTTGTCTCAATAGTCTCCTTTCCATACCTGTTTATTTCACGAGAATGACACGCGCACCTTGAGTTACGAAGGCATATCATGACATGCATGCGACCGGCAGAGTTTTATGTTACACGCCACAATGCACTGCTGTGAAAACATGGCTAGAGAGAGAGAGAATGATGTACAGGGTCATTTGATGTCATTTCCAGACTGTCCCATTTTCCGGGCTTCTCGAGCCGGGCCGGGAGGCGCTGCTCCTCTTCAGCGCAGGGCCAGCATGTTCCTGATGCTGCGGTAGTATGGAGGGGGGAGTTGCTCCTTGAGCTCCTCCTGCGTCAGCCACTTGAAGTCGGAGACGCCGAGCTTGTTGTCCGCGATGTCGGCCTGCCCCGCCATGATCCTGCCCTTGAGGAAGAAGGTCTTGGAGCCCTTGACCTTGACCGCCTTGGAGTCCTTGTCGAGGACGGGCTCGACGACGTGGTGCGCGATGGGCACGCGGCCGACGATCCACGTGTTCATGTTGACGCCGGCGGCCTGCTGGAGCACACGGGCGGCGGTCTTTTTTTTTTGTTTTTTTTTCAACGAGGTTAGTACATACCAACAAAACCTATGGGCATAGCTATTCCCCCCAGTGAGTATCAATGCCCACCTCCTTTCAAACACTCACCTCGTGCAGGTTCTCCTCGGTCGACATCCTATCGCTCGGAAACTGCCAGGACCCATCCCTGCCCTTGACGACGAGGTATAGGGTCCTGTCGAGGGCGCGGTCGAGGCGGCGGACGTCCTTGGTCTCGTCGGCCTGCGTCGTGCGCGGCAGCGGCATCTCGGCTGGGACACGGTCCTGCGGCGCGATGAGCTCGCCGTCGTCGCTGAAGCGCACCTCGGCGTCGGCGGCCAGGCGTTCCCGCAGCGCGGCCTGGTCGGCCAGGGAGCTGCCCAGGGGCGCCTCGTCGGCCCAGGCCGAGACGCCGCGGGCGCGGTACAGCCCCACCTCCTTGGACACGATGCCCTTGCGCTCCTTGAGCTTGAGGTCCCAGTCCAGCATGGGTGGCGTGTCGGGCTTGAAGAAGAAGCCCTTGAAGAAGGGCGACACGAGCCGCTCGTTGAGCCGCTTCTGGTACAGGAAGAAGGCCGACTCGAACGGGGTTGGCTCCCGCGTCAGGATCGGTGCCCGCGTCAGGATGAGGCCGGACCGGATCCTGTATTGCGCTTTGGCGTGCTGGGGCAGCTCGGGAACGGCGGCGGCGGCGGTCGCGGGAGGGGGCTGCACGGCGCCTGCCGCGGTCGGTGCCGGCTGTGGCTCGACGACGGGGCCGGTGATGGTGGTGGCGGCTGTCGCGAGTGTCCTGTGTGTCGACCACAGCGGCCTTGTCCTAGCGCATTGGGCGCATACCCGAGGTGATCCTATAACCCACACGGCATTGTGAGCTGGAGGGGGCCATGGGGACGGTAGGGGCTCATGCGAACAACACGGGGCACGAGGCTGATGAGGGGATGGGGGAGAGACCAACGTCTTGATAGCGCCCCGAGGGCTTGCCAGCCTCTACTTGACGCCGACATGGCGTCGGACGGGAGCAGGCCGAGAACTCTTGGTGACCACCTAGTTCTAGGTCAGTCAACCGCTCCGGGAAATCTCAATGGCTGTTATGGCTCGGCCGGAGCTCCTTTCGCTTTTGCTGAAGCTAACTGCCGCCTTCGGTGCGTAACCTTTCTGGTCGCGGCCGAATTTTTTGGGGGGGTACGTACCGCCAGCCAAAGCCCCACCAACCACTGAGCTTGTGTCGCTTGTGTGGAGGATTGGCGCACTTGCCTCAAACGTTGGATTGAGACCGAGGCAGGCGGCTCGACTCGAAGTAGGGGCTTGAAGGCTGCATTCCCATGCATGTCGAGTCTCCAACTTCAGCTATGGAAACAGTTTAGAGACCAGAGGTGGAAACAATGTTTGATTACTTTCATACTACCACCGTCTGTATAATATCATACTCGTTTACCCTCAACAAACATCCTGACTTTCAAGCACACGCACACATTCACTCAAGTATACCTTATGCGCAATCCACGTGATTGGTGGGCTATCTGGTCTGTGCGCCATCCTCGTCCACCTACTTTCCTCCAAGCTCGTGCGCTCGCTCCCGGCCTCCCACTTCTCTTCCTTCTCTTCTTCATATCCAAAGGCATCAATCCTTATCATCAGGACCTGTTCCGCCAGAACGTTCTGACCATTTATGTGTGCCCAGAGTAAAAACCAAGCAGACTAATTTCGCTAGCAGCTCCTGTGCCCTTTTGGGCAAGCTGATGACCGGGTGGTTGTTAGATGTATTCTGCGGACAAAAAAATTTCACTGCCTTCCAAGCCATTGCCAGGCGCTCGCTCCATCGTCGGTCGGCTCGAGCGGAACAGAAACCAGGATTCCGACGGCGCTCTCCAAGTCGCATGCGACAGAATAGCCCTATCATCTTGCTTAAAGCATGGAATGGGAACGGCTTCAATGCGCACTGAGGCACTCCTGATGAACAGGCAGACGGCCACTGATTGACCTACAACTTGTTCATTTGGGTTCTCACCGTTCCTTTCCATCCTCTCCTTGTCTTCTTGCAATGCCTTTTTGCGACTACGATCTCTCAACTTTCGTGCGCTCCCACCTGGTGGTGGCACATGCCGTCCTTGGGAAATCGCTAAAATCTCTCCTAGTACTGCCGACGAGCAAGATTTTGGTACAGCAGCCAACAGTGTGCATTTATCTTGAGCTTTGGATGTCCCGACATATCGAGAATAACTAGTATCAACAAAAATCGCCGTGCTTGGGCGAAAAAAAAACACATGATCCCCTCACAACCACTTCCGTGGCGGATACGTGAGGTATCTTGTTCCATGCTCCCTTCCCCGTTCGCCTGAAAAGATCGCCATTTCGCCAAAGACAGATGCCCAAAGACCAAGCAAGAAAAACTCAAAACAAACAATTATGACAAGAAGAAAGGCCCCCAGAGCTTGGGGTCACCTGACCAAAACCCCGCGATGCTCCTGGGTATCTAACGAGATCATCCCATCCGAAAACGCCGTTATTGTGCTGTTCATACATATCATGCAGCCTCGAGGGCAACCTTCGTTTCATCAAGTCGCTCATGAGCTCAGGCCTACAGACCCGAAACGGCGCGCGCAACCTCCTGATTGGCTTTGGTCTCCCAAGCCCGACGGGAATCCTCGTCGACGCTCGAAGGATCCGTGATCTCTTCGTAAAGCTTCCGGGACACGTCTCGGTTGATGCTGGAGTACTGGTCGGCAGTGAGCTTGTTCGACTTCCAATGCGGGCTCAGCGCGGTGCGAACCAGGCTGCTGATGTTCTCCTTCATCTCGAGAGGAAGTTGCGGCCTGGTGGGAGAGGAGTCGGGCGACCGAGGGAGCTTCACGGCCTGAGACCTTCTAGGCCGGGGCTGGCGAAGCTCCGAACCTCCCTGGTTCGGCGACCGAGCCTCCGAGTCGCTCGCCTCGGCGGCAGGTCTGTGTGGAATATAGTTCGCCCGGGGGTAGATGGGTTCGATGTGAGAGCTCAGTGACAATGTCGGCGAGGTGGGCCGGGTGGACCTGGCCTGAAGCTGGGGAGGCGGTGTGAGCGAGTTCGCGCGAGGGCTGCTATATGCTGAAGGCGTGGGCGATGAGCCAGGCGAGGAGGCGTCGACCGGGCCGCGGTTGTCGCCAAATAAGTTCCTGATGGCTTCGTCATCAGACGGGTTACTATTCTCGACCTCCTTCAGAAGGGACGACAAGAAGGAGGGCGCCTCCTCCATGGCCGGAGGCGACCGGGCGTTGGATGCCGAGCCGCTGCCGTTGGGTGTGGGTTCCGCAGGGGCCACAGCACGGCCAGGGCCCTGTGCCTCGGGCCTGGACGACGAAGCCTCACCGGTCACCGCGATGCGACGAGTGCGGGGCCGCTTCAGCTTCCTTTCGGGCTCCGGGGCGACGGGCTCTGTTGGCGAAGCGCTCAGAGAGCGTGATTTGCGCTTGCGATGGCCGCTGGAGCCCTCGCCGTTATGCTCGCGGGCCTTGTCGAGAGTGGCCCACGCACGCTGCACCTCGGGGGTCTCAGGTGGAGGGGCAGCCTGCTGGGTATTGGCGTGGGTGATTAGCGAGGCCGGCATGTTCCCGGCGAATATTTCTCGGAGCCCGAGACGCGACGCGATATTAATGCGCTGCTGCCAGTTCTCGTACTCGCGCCGCTCCCGCTCACGCAGCTGCCTCGACCTGCGGTACTCCCACAGGCCATCATCTCCGTCGTGGGAGTCGAGATCGATATCAAGAGCGTCGAAGACGCGGCCGGTGATCTCGCCCCAAGCGCCCTGCCACTCATCGGAGCGCGCGCGCCTCCGAGCACGCCGCATGGTGGCACGAGTGCGCGGGAAGAAGTCATTGCGCCGGCGGTTGTTGGAGCGGCGAGGCGGACGGGTATCCTCGAAATCGCCCAGGACAGGAGCGCACTCCATGCAGAACCACGAGCCGTCAGGAATGTCCTCGAGTCCGATGCAGTAGGTATGGTATGATGCATCGCACCCGTCGCACAGCAGGAGCACGTCCTCGTCGCTGTCGGAGTTGCAGACAGGACAGGGCGTCGTCTCCTCGTCGTCCTCGTCGTCGGGGTTCTCGTTGAGCCATGCTTGCGGGTCGAACTCGACGACTTGCTTTTTGTCCTCGACTCTGTAGGACTTGAGTAGATTACCTAAAATAAGCACACAGGCGACTCATCAGCATTTGACTTTGTTCACGAGGGTGTTCAGGGAACCCCCAGGTAGGGGAACCTTCTTGGGGTTCGGTATCGGGGTGAGGGGACGGGTGCACACGTACCTCCAACGCTATCGTAAACGTCGACCAAATGGAAAGAATGGCGGCAGATGGGGCAGCTGTTCGCCTTGGCAGCCCATGCCTGCAGACAGGAGTTGTGCAGGCTGTGGCCGCACGCATTTATGACGGCGACGTCGCCGTTGGGGTGGTGAGAGCCGGGGGTGGGATCGAGGACGGTGCTAGCGGCGGAGGTGCTGCTACCGCCGCCGCGGTTTGACGAGGGCTCGCCCGCGGCAAAGCTCCTTTCGCCTCCGCTCTGGCCAACCGCAGCATCTCCAGACGTCGCGTCCTCGGTCGCCGACACAGCTGTGTCCAGATTCTCCAGACAAACAATACACTGTTCGGCCATGATTTCGACTTGACCTCGAAAGGGATTTGGGGATCAGGGGATTGGCAGCGCATAAAAATGCGGCCCAGCAGTTGATGGCGACGCGGCCTCGGTTTCTTGGAGCGGATTTTGGGAGACGCTCACTGCTGGGCGGCGGATCGGGTGCTGCCTGTGGTGTAAGGTAGTGAGTGGGTTTTGGTGGTGCTGGGGTTTGCTCAGCAACTGCTGTGCACAATGGCTCTGGCCAAATGCTTGGAAGCACTGGTGGGTAGGGGAAAAGGAAGGGGACGAAATGGAGAGCAAAGAGGATCGGTTTTGGCGCGGTTCCTGGGCCAGGTGAGAAATGCGTGGGTACCCCGCGCGCAATTGGAGATGTATACGTGCGTTCTGGGTATGCGAGGAAGGCACACTGACCACCCGTACAAATGGGCGACAAAATAGCAATTACGGGAACCTGGTCAACGTGCTAGCCATAGCCACCAGTTGACCAAACCTTCAGCTAGGTACCGGAGAACGAAGACGGAAATACGAGCAGGCACACAGTCGGTTAGGCGTCAGGGAACCAGGGCATCACAGGAGATAGGACAGGATGTAAACTGAACAAATGTGAATAGAATACGCCTATTTTTTCATTTTCGTCCTCATTTTCATTTCCGTTTCCGTTTTCACAGGTGCTTCCGCTGTCGAGCTTGGGCTCTTTCTATGGGTCCTGCTTCTGGCGCTGATTCTCTGGCTCTGTCACGCACTTGCCAGGTCCAGTGCTCCTTCCTCCCCCAGTCCGCCGGGGTCACACCCTCGCCGCCACCCACACCAGGCCTGCTGCCGGCGCCACCTCGCTCATTGGAGAAAGCTGGCGCACACCACTCGGGGAAGGAGCCCCCCTCCGACATTCTGACTCTCACTCAGCCGTGTTGCGGAGCCTAACCCAACCCGAAATTGAACTGCTCAGGTTATTTGTTGTTTTTGAGGGTGCACGCACCAGTCTTTGGTGCCCGGATGAAGCAGCAGAGAGGTATGAGTGAAGCGCAACACAAAGCAAAAGGGCGGTTGCGGCTACCGTGAAGCGCCCGCTGTGTGTTCCACTTGGCCGGTCCACATGGGACGCGGACAAGAGGGCAGGTGACTAGTACCCGGGCAGGTAGGTGGCCCTACACAGCCATCAATAGTGCTTCATGTCTCTCGCGATCCGTGAAGGATTGGGGAACTATTCTAGGCGCCCAGGCATCCGCGCATCAACCATCTCCGCTCCTGGCTCCAAAACTTGCAGTCAGGTACATGTTGGCCATTCTCGTCCATTACTCGCCCACACACACAGATACACACAACCCCCTGAATTCCCAACCCAAGGAGGCGACTACGACAGACCTGCAGGGCAACTTGGGGACTAGCGGATTGTTCAGTGCCACGGGGCTGCAATTACTCGTCGCGTACCTGCGTGATCATCCAGTGTGTGTGGACATTGGCGTGTTGGTGAATACCTGTGGGTACCGGGTCTTAGGTGTCTTGTGTTGCGGGAACTTGGCGTGCGCTGTTCATCGACGGACCGGGGTCTTTCACGTCATGCTCCCGATTTGCTCATCGAGCCGCTCCCTCCGTCCCGGCAAAAGGCAGACAGGAATTGGCGGAGCGGGATGGGTGTGGCAGGCAACCGACGGCGGCACGCCTTGTGCGCACGCAGCCCAGTTCACCGAAGGCAAGGGTTGGAGCGCCAGATGCAAAGTATAGTCCACGTGGCTTGCGGGGTGTGCGCTTGAAGGCGTCGATATGCCCCGAGGGTGGGCTCCTGAGCAATTCGTGCAGTTGATTTTCTCCTCTCCAGTCCCCATGCCTACCATCGCAGCCCTGGTTGACACAAAACGATCATGTCAATCACCGTCGAGTCGACATGAGTTGACTAGCGACATACTGCATTTAGTTCCCAAGAGCCCGTGCAGTGCTCACGCGCTTCTACGGGCATCGAGTAACTGTAATCGAGTACAAGCCAGGCATGGACCTGGACAGTCGGTCAGATGGACAGGTCAAATCCGAGACAGCCCTCGTTCCCACCGCCTTCGAACGGGCTATGCTAGAAAGTGACCGAGTCCCTGAATAAAGGCGCCGAGGGACGTTGAAATGCAGCCATTGCTTTAGAGGTTGGTAGTGAAGGGTCGGCGTCTGTGTTACATAATCGGGCATATCCTGGAAGGGGTGATCGGCGTGTCTGCCCGGGCCAGTTACGCCTCCTTTGCGGCCAGGCGGCTGGGCTGTGTGGCTGTCTGCCTCGTTGCCTTCTCGCATTTGAAAAATAGTGCGGACGGACTCCTGCTTTGAGGCCGCTTGTGGATTTCATGTTGGGGCTGGGGTTTGCTCGCCCTGTTGCTGAATGTAGCATTCCTGGTCCGCCAGCTGAGTCACCGTAAACAGCACTGTACAGCCCAGGCGTGGTTCCTCGGGGCGGGCTCCCTCCCAGGCACGGTGGGTAGTAGTTGAGGCTGGTATCTGATCCGTCGTCTCGTCATACACGTTAATTCTCACCCATAAACACAGCCCATCTGTGCTGTGCGACATCTAGGAATTTAAAAAGGCAGGTACGGCGTCCAGTTGCGGATGCAGTGCTAGCACGTCCTCTGCCTTTTTCAGACATGGCCTTGGCTTCCTTGTTGCTGCGCCCAACGCTACGTCAGCTGCACCAAAAACGCCAAATTCTCGTGGCCCTGCTCCAATACCACCCCCACCTCATCCTCAGCTGCAGGTTCTCTTCAGCCTGGTCCCCCACCTCATATCGCCCAATCCCAAGGCGAGCAGTCAGTATAGGGAAACCAGGCTCTCTGGCGGCCGTTTTCCCTGTCATTGCCTCGGGTGACTGAGGCGAAGAAGGCAGAGATGGCAACCCCTCAGGTGCCGTATGCGGCCCAGGAGCCCGAGGTTATTACGGGCCTGGTGCGCGAGATGGAACGGCACGTCCAGAAAATGCCAGGAAACAAGGCATTTCGCATCAAGAAGACACGCTTCAAGGTGCTGGATTCTCCCACCGGCATCGCCGTCGACTCGTGGCGGATGCAGGACTGGGACTACAAGCGCCGAGACCTGCCCACCTACGCTCGTGGCCTCTTCACCACGCGGAACCCCGAGTCGGGCCACTACGAGATCGCCGTACGGGGATATGACAAGTTCTTCAACACAGGCGAGGTGCACGCCACAGAGTGGGACAACATGCGCAAAACCACACAAGGCCCCTACGAGTTGACGCTCAAGGAGAATGGCTGCATCATCTTCATCGCCGGTCTCGAGGATGATACACTGTTGGTCTGCTCCAAGCACTCTACCGGCCCTCGCAGTGACGCCGATCTCAGCCACGCGGTTGCCGGGGAGCGTCTGATCAAGAAGCAGCTTGACAAGATCGGCAAGACCACTCAGGACTTGGCCAGGGAGCTGAGGGCCCGCAATGTCACCGCCGTCGCCGAGCTATGCGACGACAGCTTCGAGGAGCACATTCTCGCCTACGGCCCAGACAAGGCCGGCCTCTACCTGCACGGAATCAACCTCAACCTCCCCTCTTTCAGGACATATGCCAGCTCACTAGTCCAGTCATTTGCCAGCGATTGGGGCTTCAAGCAGGTCGGACTCCTCACGTTTGAGGATCTCGACTCGACCAAGACGTTCCTGGACAATGTCGCTGAGACGGGCGCCTACGACGGACGGGATGTTGAGGGCTTCGTTATCCGGTGCAGGAAGTCTCACGACCCGGCCAAGGTGCCATACGAAGATTGGTTCTTCAAGTACAAGTTCGAGGAGCCGTACTTGATGTACCGCCAGTGGCGCGAGTGCACAAGGGCCCTGATCGCATCCAAGCCGCCCAAGTTCAAGAAGCACAAGAAGATCACCGAGGAGTACCTGCTTTTCGCACGCAAACGCCTCGCTACCGACCCGAACCTAGTCAAGGCCTACAATCAAAACCATGGTATCATTGCGCTGCGAGATGAATTCCTAAAGTTCAAGAACCTCAAGGGCTCAGACGCTGCCAACCTTGAACCCGAGTTTGGAGGTGAGGTAAAAACCGAGGTTGCTGGAGATGTCATCCTCGTGCCTATCGCCACCATCGGTTGCGGCAAGACGACGATAGCCGTTGCCCTGTCCCACCTGCTCGACTTCGGACATGTGCAGAATGACAATATCCAGGGCAAGGGCCGCCCGCCCAAGTTCACAAAGTGGGTTCTAGATGAGCTCAAGGAACACCGTGCCGTGGTTGCAGACCGCAATAACGCCCAGCGCCACGAGCGGAAGCAGATCCTGACTGACGTCAAGATTCAACACCCCACGGCGATCATGGTTGCGCTCAACTTTGTGCACGACGACGTAGACGAGATCCGCAAGGTCACGCAGGGGCGCGTCTTCGCGCGTGGCGACAACCATCAGACAATCCAAGCTGCCTCGGATACGGCAAAGGTGGTTGGCATCATGGAGGGCTTCATTGGGCGGTTTGAGCCATGCAACCCGATGGCGGCACCTGACATCGGATTCGACGCCATTATCCGCCTAGACCCTACCGCCGACAGCCGAGCAAACCTGGAGACTGTTATCAGGGAGCTGCACGGCCTTTACCCGAACCTGATCACTGAAGTTCCGAGTGCTGAGGAGATGGACACCGCCATCGCCGTCGCCATTAGCGACTACCAACCCGAGATGCGGCATAGCATCTCCAGCAGGGGACCCAACAAAAACACGACGCAGACCCAGCCCCCGCCGCCCCCACCGGGAAAGAAGCTGAAGATCGAGTACATTTCGGTCAATGTGCCAGCTCAGGATGTGCTCCAGGCGCTGGAGAAGGCCTTCAAGAATACGACCCCGGAGCAGTCGAGGATGTACAAGATGCTAGAGCAGACGCGCCGGATTCAACCGCAGTTCCATGTCACTCTGATTCACAAGTCCGGCTCGGGCGAGCGGCCAGAGCTGTGGGATCGGTACTCGAACATGAACGCCGAGGCCAAGACGGCGAACCCGTCGGTCCCATACCCATCCATGCCGGAGATGGGCCGGTGCGATGTGCAGCTCGAGCGTGTCGTGTTTGACGATCGAATCATGTCCATCGTCGTACGGCTGGTAAATCCCGATGGCGGTGAAGGCTGGGAGTGCCTCAACAAGGTACCGCATATCACGGTCGGCACCAGGGACATGTCGATCAAGCCCAAGGAGAGCAACGACTTGTTGGCGCGTTGGCTTGATGAGAGCACCGATGGTGGCAAGATCGATCAAATCCCTTTCGAGGACCGGCCTATCCTGAAGGGAACGGTCAAAGCAGTCCTCTCCAGGTAGAGCACTGTCGAGGGCCAGTCTGCGCCGTTGTCCTGCGGAAAGAAGGATTTGGCGCCTGAGGACAAGTGGGGACAAATGGATTCTGGTAGACGCCAGATGCTGGAGCGCCGGGACCACCAGGCAGCTGGTGAAGCCCCTGGAAACCATGGTTGCGATGGCCGAGGGGAGACTGGCGGCCGTGTAGGCCGGGGAGCTCAGGGACATGAGAAGAACCGCGATCGGCGCGGTGATAGTGGTGCCGGCGGCGGGCATGGAAGCCGTGGTCGAGGAGACCGCGAATACCGGGAGAAGCGGAAGCGTGGCAATCAGCAGGGAGATCGTGGCCGCGGTGACAGATATCGTCCTGGAGGAGACCGTCACGATGGCAGGTCTCGTGCTACCCAAGGTTAGCCTAATGTCTTTCACGAGATCGGTCAGGCTCTTCATTGGCACCAGGTGTATAGAGGTCTAGACTCTCTTTTGTCGATGTGCGCCGGTGTTGGGAAACTTGAAAAGAATTGTTCAGTTTAGTTGAATCATACCTGCCCCTACACTCTACTCCAACCTGGATTTAAATCACCAGGCTAGCTTTAGCCCTGCATGACTACTTCGGTGATGGTGCGAACATGTGTAGTTCAGAATGGTAGATGCTCTAATATCCATGGCGAACAACGGAAACAACTAAAGGTAAAACGATTCCCGCTGTAGAAGCCCGTGAGCTAGTCGCCTTCTCCCTCTGAACTCTCAACTGCTTGCTCAACTGTCGTCCCCGATCTCCAGGTGGTCCTGAGAGATATCCGTGTTATAGGCCGGGCCGGGTTAGGGTTGACGCCTATGTGGCCTGTGTGGCCTGTGCGCATTTCGCCTTGCAGGGGTCGCGATCGCATCCAAATTTTTGGCTTCAAAACGGAACCATCATGGGCGACGACCAGATAGATATTCACCCCACTCCCAATAAGCTACCCCTCGTAGCGTCTTGCAGCGGAAGTTGAGGCGCTAGGCAGCCCAATTGACGAGGGCTTTCTTATCCCTTCAGCATGCCGCCACGGCTTCAGTGCCCAAAGGCCGCGGCCTCCCTCATACAACAGTCGCAACACTCGATACGATCTCAGCGATACCTCATCCCAGTCCTTGCCGCAGTCACATCAGCCCCGGCAGACCTGGCCGCTCCGGCAAGAAGAAGATATGCGACTGCCGCCTCATTGGCCAAGGTAGCGGGGCTGCAGCTGCCAGCCAACTATGTGCCTCCCACACAGCCTCCGAGCGCCCGCCGGCCGGACACGCGCAAATCCCAGCTACTCCGCGCATACACGGCGCTGCTCAGGTCGACGCCCCTCACTCTCGTCTTCCAGCACAACAGCCTCACCTCACAAGAATGGGCCGCCGTGCGCCGTGAGCTGAGAACGGCGCTGGCCAGCGTCCCCGCCCCGCCAGCCGTGAAGGGCGGCCCCGCCCCCGTCGACATCACAGAGCACGTCAAGCTGCAGGTGGTCAGGACACGCATCCTCGACCAGGCCCTGAAGATTGTCGAGTTCTTCGACCCCAACAGCCAGACCTCGGGCACCGCGACCGAGGCGGCGCTCAAGGGCGGGTACACGCACGACCTCTCCATGGCCGTGTACAAGCAGGTTTCGGCCGTCGACGTGGACAACCTCCCGGCGGACTCCATGTACGGCCAGCTGGGGCCCCTGCTCGTGGGGCCCGTGGCGCTCCTGACGTTCCCGGCCGTGTCGCCCGCGCACCTGGCCGCTGCGCTATCCATCCTGGCCCCCAGCCCGCCGGCGTTCCCCGCGCCGACGCGCAGGAAGAACCCGGGCTACTACGACCTGACGACGCAGAGCGCGCTCCACAAGCTGCTCCTGGTCGGTGGCCGCGTCGAGGACCGCGTCTTCGACAACGACGGCGTAAGGTGGATCGGCGGCATCGAGGGGGGCCGCGACGGGCTGCGCGCCCAGCTGGTGCACATGCTCCAGAGCGCCGGCCTCGGCCTCACGTCGGCGCTCGAGGGCACCGGCAAGAGCGTCTGGCTTACTCTCGAGGGTAGGAGGACCATGCTAGAGGACGAGGCCAAGGGCCCGGAGGAGGCCAAGGAGGGCGAGGCATAGAGCTGTTTGCTGTACGATGTATGTGGCTTGGTATCGGGACATGCCGGTGTCTACATCTGCCCACCTACCTACTACCTCTGGGATCCAGCCAAATGGAAGCTCCGTTGTATTATGCTTTGACGTGCATGTCTGGTATTGCAGTAGTGCAAATCCTCCAAGAATTGGGCTTCGAGAAGGTGCCCATATATGTGCTCGGTGTTAACATATGTCCATCTACCCTCTCATGTCGGTTTATTTGACCAGAACGAGCCGCGGCGGAAAGTCAAAAACAAGTGCGATCCCACCACCACGAAGCCAGGACATCAGATAAACATTGTGGGAGTGCCATGTAACTGCACAGCGTAATTTGGCTGTTTCTCTACATACAGGGGTCATACCGAAGTCAATCCCTGCTAGGTCCATTCATCTGGTCTTATTTGCACGCTTTGGTCAAATAAACCGGCATGAGAGGGTATCAAGGAACCTAGATCTTCGTGCAGACAGCGGGATCGAGGTTTAATTTAGGCTGGGATGCCCACTTACAGTAAGTATGCATGCGAACGGTTCCTGATTTGGAATCTGGGGAGTCCCTGCGCTGATGGATTGATGGGTTGGGTGGAGCAGGGACCCTGCAAGGCGTGTGCCATGCCGTGGCCTGAATGGGCACAGGGCCGCCCATCTGCCCAAGATTGATTGTGCGTGCCACAACCCACTCCATCCGAATGACGACTGTGCCTTGGCTCTGCCTGGTGCTCGCCTATCAAGCTTGCGCGTCACCTGTCAACCCAGCCTCATCGACAACGTCCTACAAACAGCCTCCTCGAGTCGCTCGAATCGCGGCGACGAGTATTGAAATCGAGAGCCGTCTTCGACCGTCCGAGAGCCCAGCAGCCGACAGGAGTGAACCATTTCCATCTTTGAGGCGATCGCAGGCCGCAACCTAGATAGACGCCCCATCTCGCTTCGTCCAGTGGCTTGCGCGGGCACCTAGCCCAACCCGTCCCCGCGACGCGATAAGAGATCACCACCAGCCCATCTCGACAATTTGGATCGACCCAAATCGACACGGGCCCTCCTCTGTCGAGACCATCCAACCATGGACTTCGCGCCCTACCAATCCTCCCCGCCGGAGCACACGCGGTCGCCGGTCGACTCGCCGCGCACGTCGCTCGAGAGGAGGCCGTGGTCGCCCCTGCGGGCCGGCAGCGGGCCCGGGGCCAACAGCTCCGGCGGCGGCGGCGGCGGCTACAACTACGGCCAGCGCAACGACAGCGCCGCCTCGCCGCCGCCCCTACAGCACCCCCAGCCCCAGCGGCAGTGGTCCGGCGGCATCCCGAGCCCGAGCTACTACCAGCAGGCTATGGGCGGCAGCGGCGGCGGCGGCCAGGGCGGCGGGGCGGGACAGGACAGTGGCTACTTTGCCGGTAGCAGCAACGGCGGCGGCGTCGGCGGCGGCGTCGGTCTGAGCTCGGGGCCCTGGGGCGACCGCGAGGGCGCCATGAGCGAGTTCGACACCAGCCTCGGCATCCGGCTCGACTACGAGGCGTGCCTCGCGTACCTAGCTTTCCCGCCCCTGGGCGCCATCCTGCTCCTCATCCTGGAGCGCAAGAGCGACTACGTCCGCTTCCACGCGTGGCAGGCGAGCCTGCTCTTCACCATCGTCTTCATCGTCCACCTCGTCTTCTCCTGGTCCCGCTTCCTGAGCTGGCTGTTCTTCATCGGCGACCTCGCCCTGATAGCATTTCTCACGCTCAAGGCGTACCGCGACGCAGACACCCTTGACAGGTACGTTGGTTTGCTAGCTAGGGAATCCCTGCCATGTGTTGCCCAAGTTTTTTTTGTATCGCGCTAACCGTAATAATAGGTTCGAGGTCCCAATATTCGGCCCTTTGGCTAGCAGGATCCTGGACGATGAGTAAATGGGCGTTGGCGTGATGGTGACTGAGGGAAACGGCGTTTTATCGGGTTGCATTCGCTTTCTTGCTACTTCTCATTGTTCTTTTTTCACCATATCCTCGTGTCTTTTCTTATTTCAGTCTGTTTTTCCGTCGCTCTACATGGGGGTTCTTTTATCGGATTCAAGCTTCTACATCTCTGGGGATACCTCTACTACTTGTTCATCCTGTGTTGTGCTGAGGTCTGTTGGCATGTAGCATTTACCGCTCTGCTTTTCAATCATTTGCTGGGCCCAACGGCTCGAAGATATACATCCTGATGGTTCATTAATGAGCTTTACAGCCAGGCTCCTCATGTAACTTGTCGAGCCATGTCGTTTGGCTCGACCAGCCGCATATCTATCCTTCCATGTTTTGTCCAAGGCGCACAGACGACACGGAGCTTACGCCACAGTTTGCGGCCAACAGCCACACAGTGTGTCGAGCATCAGCCACGCCCCACTCAGGCTGGAGCTGGATTACGCGCCTCGCCTGCCTTGCAGCTCAGCCAGCCAACTCCAGGCCGAATTGGCACGAGTCTTGAGGCGAATGGAAACCCGGTCGACGCCCGCCTCGGATTGCATTTCTCATCAGCAACCACTCGAGCACCTCAAGTGGTCCTTTCCCCCTCTCCTACCGACCACGCGACCGACGGCATCGAGGCATCTCCGCCCAGTGCAATAATATCCAGCTCTTCGCACTCGAAACTCTGCCCGCTCTTCCGCCACCACACCCCGCCCTCCGCGCAGCATGTCGACTCTTGAGGATCTCGAGAGCCTCGACCGTCGGGAGGACGACAAGGACGATAAGAAGGACAAGAAGGATGGTAGCGACAAGAAGAAAGCTGGAGATGGCGACGCCGACATGAAGGACGCCGAGCCGGAGGAGGACGACGTTCTGGACGAGGAGATCCTGAACCTGAGCACGCAGGACATCCAGACCCGCAAACGGTTGCTCGAGAACGACTCGAGGATCATGAAGAGTGAGTACCAGCGCCTGTCGCACGAGAGAAGCACCATGAACGAGAAGATCCGGGACAACCTCGAGAAGATCGCCAACAATCGGTAAGCGTTCATGCTCCCCTCCGCCGGCCTCGCATTCGAGGAGCCCTCAAGTGCTAACAGGTGACGCCCATCTGTCCAGCCAACTGCCTTACCTGGTTGGAAATGTCGTCGAGCTCCTCGACCTTGATCCCACAGCAGAGTCGTCGGAGGAGGGCGCAAACATCGATCTGGATGCCACGAGAGTGGGCAAGTCCGCCGTCATCAAGACGTCGACGAGGCAAACCATCTTCCTGCCGTTGATCGGCCTGGTCGACCCGGCCACACTCAAGCCAGGCGATCTCATTGGTGTGAATAAGGACTCGTACCTGATTCTCGACACCCTACCCGCCGAGTACGACAGCCGAGTCAAGGCCATGGAGGTGGACGAGAAGCCCACTGAGAAGTACAGTGACGTGGGTGGGCTGGACAAGCAAATAGAGGAGTTGGTCGAGGCTATTGTATGGCCGATGAAGGAGGCGGAGCGTTTCAAGAAGATCGGCATCAAGGCACCAAAGGGTGAGTTGCCGTGCCGCGGATGACAACTCCGAGTTCATGTCCGGCTTGCTGCCGTGCACGTCCTTCACCACCTGCTAACTGCCTGCTTTCGAATAGGTGCTCTGATGTACGGTCCCCCTGGAACGGGCAAGACTCTCCTGGCTCGCGCATGCGCCGCACAAACTGATGCGACGTTCCTCAAGCTCGCAGGTCCACAGCTGGTCCAGATGTTTATTGGAGATGGCGCCAAGCTTGTTCGTGACTGCTTCGCACTTGCCAAGGAGAAGGCTCCCTCCATCATCTTTATCGACGAGCTGGACGCCGTGGGTACGAAACGTTTCGATAGCGAGAAGTCGGGCGATCGTGAGGTGCAGCGGACCATGCTGGAGCTTCTGAACCAGCTGGACGGATTTGCTTCGGACGACCGTATCAAGGTTCTTGCGGCAACGAACCGTGTGGACGTGCTGGATCCTGCCCTGCTTCGTTCAGGGCGTCTGGACCGCAAGATCGAGTTTCCGCTGCCCAACGAGGAGGCGCGGGCGCAGATTCTGAAGATTCACAGTCGCAAGATGCGCTTCGACCCCAGCGTCAACTGGGGCGAGCTCGCTCGCAGCACGGACGAGTTTGGCGGTGCCATGCTCAAGGCCGTCTGCGTCGAGGCTGGCATGATTGCCCTCCGGATGGGCAAGAACAAGATCAGCCACGAACACTACGTCGACGCCATTGCCGAGGTGCAGGCGAAGAAGAAGGATGTAAGTTGTCATCCCTGTTTCTACTTTTCATGCGTGACGCGCTGTCTGCTTGTCACCGTCTCGCTCACGGTATCAAACACTAACACAAACCTACAGACTGTCAACTTCTACGCCTAAAATCCTGTGTCTTGTATTCCTGAGAGGGCCTGGGACGGTGTATATCTGGGACATTCCCCGACACTAGTCAAGGGGCAAATAGCGCCATAGAGGGGCTCGGGCAGATAGACATGCAACACACTGCGACGCAATGCCCCATTGCATTACTTACCATCATCGATGCTGTGACCTACGTTCTCAGTTGACAGCCACAAGTATAGCGTGTTGGGCGTTGGAAATCATGTTTGTTGAGTGATATAAAGCCCGAGCCCGTAATGATATGGATTCAATCCACAATCTTGACCTTGCCCGCTTTCTATTCCTGCATAATTGCACAGAAAAAAAGGGCCCGGACGAAAAGCCACAAAAAAAAAGCATTATTTGGCGGACGATGCCGCTGGCTTCTCCTCCTCCTGCTTCTTCGCCTTTTTCCGCAGCTCGGACTGGGAATCAACCGAAGCCACACGACCACGCTCGACCAGCCACTCACTCATGCTAAGGATTGGGCCCATTCTAACGAAAATGACCTCACCATTTGGCCCAATGGTGAGGGTGGACCCGTTAGCCGACTTTTGCGGCTTGCCGTTGTCCTCGCGCTTACGCTTGCGCTTGTTGCCCCCGGCCGGCTGCGCGATCGTAATGTCACCGACAAGCAGAAGAGCGCTCATTTACCGAGTAAGCGCCACGTTAAACCTGTATATAAATGAAACATTAGCGCTGGTTTAAGCGGTAATAATTACGCAACTGGATATAACATACCTGTTGGGATCGGTCGTAAACCCGGGATCAAACCACCGCGAAGTGCCGAAAACGATAGTAACGAATTCGGCCTTTTGGCCGTGGATCGAATCGATGGTGGATGGCGGCGGCATGTTATCCAGCCCGGAGCCCTCCATATTTTTCGTCTGCTTTTCGATAACCTTAACGTTAGCTTTGTAAGGCGATAGGATGGCCATCCTTTTGGCGGCGTTTGGCATTTCCTTTTTAACCGATCCAGCAAACTCGGCAAGGAGGGCGAGCGCAGCTTCAATTTGATTAGGGCAGTACTTGCTTTTGGTTGAATCGATACCGACCCAAAAGCCCCATCACTCTCCCTATCTTGCTTTCGATCTTCCTTTTTAATTTTCCTTTTATAAAAATACCTAGCCTTTATAATATAGCCACTACGCGTTTGACGGAGTTCAAGGATAAGTGGCAAATTAACGTAGTGGAAAGCTAGCATTACGAAATTATACTTTGGTTACCATTCGACAATATTCAAATCAATTGGTTCCTGGCCAGTAAAACCACGATTAAGCAGTTTGGCTGCTTTACGGTCCTTACTAAAATCGATATCCATTTAAAAAATGGCAGCAATATGGCTATTAAAAGCGCTAAAATGCTTTTCCGGAACGCAAACAATAATAAGGTCGATTTTTAGGTAAACGGTAACCAGCCAATTGCTTACGGAATTACTTTAACCAATATTATGTCGTTTTGGTTTTATTATTTAATTACCGCATTGCAAAAGGATTCCATCGATAAATAATTTTCGTTAGCTTGCTTTCCGCCGCAATTCCAATATGGTTATAGCACCAAGCATAATTAAAATATTAACCGGTAAACAAACTAAATGCAAATTTTCCGAAAACATCGGTTTAAGCCGCCATTTCGCTATGCTAATAACGATAACCACGTTACAATATTAATACAAGCCGCGGTTTAAATATGCTTACAAATATATTATATACCTGCCTTTTCGGTTTTTTACATTTTTTTAAATGCTAAAAATATTCCCCCCACAAAACGTGCTTTGGCTGGATATTAAAGCCAAAAAGATTAAAAATTTCCGCATGCGGGTTTACTTTGTGCCGGTGGACCAATAGGAAATGTCGTAAGCGTTTTTCGTTATTTTAACGCTGCCGCATTTATTTAAAAAAATGTTTATGCTAGCTTTTTGTTAGTTAATTAGCAATAATGCATTTATTGGCTTTAGTTTTTTTGGAAAAAAACTTTTAATTTAAAATAGCAACATAGCATGCCACTTTGGTTTAATACCCAAAGCGTATCCTTTAGCTTACAACCATCCCATTAACGAAAGTAAGCTGGTAATTTTTGCCCGCTAGCCAAAACAAAAAGCCAAGCGCACTTAATACATTGGCGCGGCTTTCAAGCCCACAATTTTTTTTTCCAAAGCGGATGTTTTGCCGGCCAATAAAAGCAATTTTCCTTAAAATTATATCGTTTTAAAATTCGAAAATCCCTTTTACAAAACCGAACGGTTGGTAAATGCCGCTTGTAAGCTTTTTTTTAACGCGCCCCCTTTGCCGCAACTAAAAAAAAACGAAAATGCCGCCGATGCCGCCCGGGACCAAACCTTCCACCGTGCTTTCGCCCGTGGAATTGGGTTTATTAACGAGCAAAACGCCGTTAAAATTGGCTGTTTGGTTTCGGTAATTAAAATTATGCCGCTAAATAATGCTAACCGCATTTCGCTTACGCCTTTTCGTATTATTAATTTTATAAAAAAATCGATAACAAATATTTGGATGCCATTGTTAACGAAATTGTCGAAAAAAACCGCTTTCGGTTCCGCGCGCACATTGCTAAGCGCCCGCTCGGTCTTACCGTAACCGCATCTGCTCCCGGTATAAGCAAAACCAACGTTTTCGCCGCCGTTTGCTTGTGCATGAACAACTTAATCGGCAAGCTATTTGGGTTTGGTCTTTCCCACGCTGCCGTTTCCAACTTTGCGAAACGGTATTACAAGCGTTCGTGCCAACTTGCTAATCGCTACAACCATTACCTAACCGCCAACGGCACCCGCCGCAAATACAAGCTGGTTGTTCGTAGGTACAGTTTCGAATGGGAGGCTTTGGCATTGCAAAAAATGCTTGCCGGCGAAAAGCCCGAAAAGAAAGGTTATTAAACGCTTTTTTTTACGCTAACTTTTTGGCTTTTCCGTGCGCTGCGTAGCGATTTGGTGCCCTTTCCGTCGATAAACGAAAATGGAGCATTTAAAAAATTTCGAACCAACATTGTTAAATTAATAATTAGGAAGCGGTTAACCATTTCGTTTCCGGAACGTTTACTTAAAAGGAATACCAAACCGACGCTCCGGACCGGAAAGTTTTTAATGCATGGCTAAAGCTTTTGGTCGATAAAGCGGATGCTTTCTTTACTACGCCCGCAAAGGTAAAATGCTCCGATAAAAAGGAAAGCGATAAGAAGGCCAGGACCAACGAAACCTGTTACGCGGACTGGTGGGAAAGGGAAATGCGGTGTATTGCCCTGGACGAGGCTGGATTTGCTTACATGCCCAACCTTTTCCAAATTTCGGGGAACCGCCTCTATCCTTTCGCCATGTCCGGCAACATTAAGCAATTTAAACCGGTTATTATAACCTATAGGGAAAAGTTTACTAAAAACTTTGGCGAGTACTTTAACCGCTTCGCTTTTAACGGCAAAATCTCGGCTTTCGCCTTCATTTCCGGCACTAGCATGCCCGCTTGGCGATAGCGGCGCCAATTTCGCATGGCCGAAAGCATGTTCGAGCTACCCAAAACGCTATAAGTATTTATCATCATCCTCACTCTCGTTCTTCCTTAACACAATCACTTACTATTTCCATATATTAACTGTTCCTCCAAGCTTCTACCCCAATCTCCGGGCTAAAAACGACGAGAGGTGGGGGTCAACGCGCCTGCCAGACTTTTTCCGCGGCCGCGACCGCAAAAGGGAGCTCGACTAGGTTCGGCTGAGGTTGCGCGAGGGCCAGTATATGCAACAACATGCAAAACCATCTTTCTCGCCGGCGCCCTATCGTCAGTGTACTTTGTTTTTATCTTCTCCCACAACATAAGGGCCGCCGGGATGGTGTTCCACATAGGCAAAAGAGAGTGGTGTATTATATCTCAATAGGGAAAGGAAATGCCTTTAAAGCCAGAAAGCACGTTAATTTAAGAATTAAACCCATTCCATCCCATCCTCACACCCACCGCGAAGGCCCAGCACACAGCCACTTCCAAGCAAGTACACCGTCTCCGATACCGGCGTCACTACTCGCCGAGGACAAGGGGAGCGATGTCCGATCTGATTACGCCTTAAGCTCAATGCCCTTGCGCTCCGTGAGCTTCACCATCATCGGTGGCTTCTGCCAGACGATGAAAGCGCGCTGGTCGAGCCAGTTGAGCGGTGTCTCGGGGGTGAGCTCAATATCAAACCGGAGCAGGACGCGGGCCACGATGACGCGCATCTCGACGTATGCCAGGTTCTTGCCGATGCAGTCCCGCGGCCCGTAGTTGAATGGTTGGAAGGCCTGGATGTCATCGCTCTTGAAACGAGCGTCGTACAGAGGGTGGTCCGGCTGCAGGAAGCGCTCGGGGTGATACCTGCCGTGGTCGACAAAACTGTCGGGGTTGTGGGATGTGGCGTACTGCATGACGTGGATCTTGGTCTGGATGTTACAAGGAGCTATTAGTCGCCTGCACCCCTGTGGTGTCCCCTTCTTTCCCCGATCACGGGGGCAGAGTGTTTTTTTTTGGGGTGGGGGTCGGCTTTGCACTTACGCCCTCAGGAATATATTTTCCACCAACAATGGCTCCAGGCGACCTGCGTGGCATGGGGACGGCGACCGGAGGGTGGATGCGGAGGGCCTCTTCAATGCAGGCGTGCACATACGGCAGAGCCTTCGAATCGACGGTTTGGAAAGTGATATCGGCCTCCTTCTGGAACTTTGAACGAACCTCGTCCGTAATGTTCTTGAGGACGTGGCGGTTTTCGGGGTGTGCAAGCAGGTAAAACACGCTCGACAGGTTCGTCGCCGTAGTTTCGCTGCCGGCGACGATCAAAGTGTTGGCGTTCTCAAAAATCTCCTCATCCGTAAGGCGTTCCTGGGCTCCTTCTTTCTTCCCAAGCATGTAGGTTACAAAGTCGCGGCTGATTGTTACTATGGGCTTGCCATCGACGCTATACTTGGGGTTGCCGGTATTCGGCCGTTCGACGCCGAGCTGTATACGGGTCTTGGCTTTCTCGGCGCCGTATTCCTTGTTCTTAAACATGCGTTGAATGCTGCCGTCCGTGTCCAGAAGGAAACCGATCGGAACTAGGAGGCTGCTGATGGTTCCGAGAAAGCGGAGCCTGCTAACCCCCGTGAATGAGCTAAAGACATTTTTAATCCAATAGTGACCTATAAATTGAAGGGGAAGGATTAGCTTGTCAGCAGTGTCATTGCGGATTATCTACACACGCAGGCCCAACTCACTCTTGCTCGACTCGAGAGTGCGGAAAGACTCGCCGATGGCAAGATCTCCAATGATGTCAAAGGTAGCAAAGTTGAGCCATTTAACAAGATCCAAAGGTTTCCCCTCAGCAGAGATCTCGGACAACCGGTTGATGAAAAGGTCGATGTAGTAAAAGATGAGGTCCTCCTGCTCTTTCAGGGCCGCGGCGCTAAATGCGTGGGACAGCATGCGCCGCTGCCGACGGTGTGTGTCGAAGTTCGGGGCGCCGATGATACCGAGGTGACCGCCCGGTCCGGCGCTGCCAGGCCACTAAAAGCAATCAAGCAGCGCAGTTAGCTAGGTTGTCATGACGATGGAATGAGGAGGAAAAGGCCGCCGAGGCTGAGATGGGGGGGGGGGGGGGGGTAAAAAGCTGCTTGCCTTTCGGAACTCGGTGGCGTCGCCGCCGACGCGGCGGGCGAGGACGTCTGCGAATCCGACTTTGCCGTCGACCATCACCCAGTCCGGACCAATGCGCACGATGTCGCCATACTTCTCGTGCAGGGACCTGGCTTTAACCGCTAATTCGCCCATAATATCGTTCTGGTACGAGGCGAAGATGGCGGAAATGGCCATATACCAGGGCCCGGGAATCTTGCTAAGGGGGTGGAACCACAGCCTGTAGACGGCAAGTCCTACGCCGTAAACAACAAGCTGGAGATGCAAACGTTAGAAACCAACCAAACTGGCTGGCCCGCTGGCCAACGCTCGCGGGCGAGGACGGTGCAACTAACCGTAGTGACTAGTCCAAGCACCCAAACGCCCACCTTCGTGGTTGGTAACCCTTGGCTAGCCGCCTCAAGTGAGGCGGCCAGATGGGCGTGGTCGTAGGACGACATGAGCACGGCCGAGGAGTATGTCTTCGTCCTGCTAATAGGAATGGGTGGGTGGAGCCGTGTGCGGTAAGTTACCGGCAGGTGCTGGAACTTGTGAGCTCCTTGTAGACATCAGTCGAAACCGGTTGGAGGGAAACGATGCTGGCGAATTATATAGAAAGCATATCGGGCAGCCGGAACGACCATCGGGACCGGTAATCGACAGCAAAAGCCGCTCCACTAGCGCAGGACCCTTGGCTTGGAACTTGTGCTTGTTATTTTCCTTTTTTGCTCTTTTCTTCCCTCCGCCAGTGCCGTGCAGCTGCTACCAAAGCAACCCAGCCAATCAGAGCCGGCCATTTCCCGGGACTATCCACGATCCTCACATGCACTGAACCCGCTACGGCCAGTACGGCACAAGCGTGTTCCCGAAAAACAGGGGACGCGGGACCCACTGGTAGCGCGGCATATGCAAATAATACCGTTTGATGCGTCAGCTATTCGGGGTCGGCCTCGATCGAGCGTCCCGATTTTCTCGCCAAGAGGCCCGATAGGCCTTGTGGGAATTGTAATTGTCGCTAGCCAATCACCGAGAGGGCTTGACTAACAGCCTCCTTCCTATTAGCTTAACGTCGAAATCCACAGAAACTGGACCGGGGCACCGGAGTCGGTGTTTTTTCTTCAGATTCCGCCTTCATCCGCCTGAGACCGGGGACCGAGGAGGTCGGAGAGGCTAGTGAGCCGGGCGGCGATCAGCTCGTCGATATCCCAAGCTATCCTCACGAATGCAAAATGGGGTTCGCCAGGGCAATAAGCGGCGCAACATTAATTCGTTAGACTGCGGCATTAAGGAGACCGGAGAGATTAGTGAGCTGGATAAGGGTTAACGCGCCGCCTGCCAGACTTTTTCCGCGGCTGCGACCGCAAAAGGGAGTTCGACTAGGTGCGGCTGAGGTTGTGCGAAAGCCAGTACATGCAACAACATGCAAAACCATATTTTTCGCCGGCGCACTATCGTTTATATACTTTGTTTTTTTAATCTGCTTCCTTTAGCTTATTAAACTAAAAATTTAACAAATGCTTAAAGTAAAAAGCCCAATATTTTTTGGGTTGTTTAAATTTGCAAATATTTGCATAGTAAGCTGCGAATTAACTGGTTTTAATAAGTTTACCAGCTACAAAAAGGGGGTAGTTTTTTTTTATACTTAGCGTTGCTTAAAATGCACGGTAATGCCTTTAAACCAAGTATTTAATATTGCCAATATATTAAAAGCAACCTAGCAAAATTAATAAACCGCTAAAAGCAAATAGTTACAAAAACGTTTACGCAATTTACGTTTTTTTATTTACGCAAAAAGGTAACATATTATATATAATAAAATAAGCAATTCCGTTTTGCGGTTTTCCAATTTAAAAAAATAAGTACTAACTCCAAAAATAAAAAAAAGCTTAAGTGCAAGCAAAACTTTTAATGTACAACTTTACCAATTTTTTGCTGGATAATATATAAAGGTATTGTAAAACTTACAATGTATTAGCAGCTTTTGCCCGTTATATCGTTGTCCGCGAGCCGGCTAAATATTAGTGTTTAGCAAGCTCCCCTTTTGCAGATTTTTCTTTTTCTTCTTCCCCAGCCGAAGCCATATTGTATTATTGGTTAGCATTATTGCGTGCCATTTGTTTTACTACTTGGATTTATTTTAGGTTTGGGCTTCCTTTAGGCTTTGCCTGGAAATTTGTTGCCGTTCGTCGCCGCCGTTGTCGTTTGCGTGGATTCGCCAGTGCCATTGTAATCGATTGGAAAGGTAACCCCGGTTCCCACTTTCTTAGGAAATGGTACTTCTGTTGGTAGGTCTCACCTACTATACTGGATGGCCCTTAGGCCATCCCCGACGTGATGCAAACCCGACTGTTGTGTGAATCGGTTCTCTGTTTGCATGTCCTGGAAGAGATTTATCTGTGCAGGTGCCAGCCAAAGGCCGGCCTAGATATACAAGCGTGCGGGCCATGCACGGGCCTTAAAGGCACGTAACAAGCCTGCAACTTCCTACTGGATAACCCGTGCATTTACTTGTTCCAACAACTTCTTTTTTAAAAAACTATAATAATCTTAACAATCGTAAACTTTGCGCCCGTTGCTATTTCGCCGGCTCCGGACAAGGTGTTGGTGTTTATTAAGGATTATCGTAATCGTTGGAAAGGTAAACCCAGTTCCCAATTTCTTTGGAAGTGGGGCTTTTCTTTTAAGAAATTGTAGTAATCCTTTCCATTGTAACCTTTGTAATTCCTGCCACTTTCCCTAACTCCAAACTTTTTATTTCGACGCTTAACATTTGGGCATTATCCTCCTTACGTTCCGAAACAACATATAAACATACCACTCGACCGATATACATATAAACACCATGGTTAGCAAGCGGATTGCCAATGCCCTGGCCAGGGCTGCTATTGGCACTAAGCCGAATAGGAATAGTGTTATTCTTTATAGCTTGGTATGAAGTGCCTTATTAACATATTTGTCGAAAGTTACGTCATTTTTCAGCCGCCGTCCCGCCCCAGTTGCCCCTGTCGCTGCAGTTCCCGCTCCGGCTGCCCCTGCTGCGGCTCTTGCCGTCCCGGCTGCGCCCTCGGGCATCGAGATCAACTTGGACGAACCTATCCAGCCCTCTCTGTCATCCGGCCGCGTAACCCGGTCACAAGCAAAGAAGCTGGACAGCCCCTCGGACAAGTCTCTTGTGCCCTCTCCCCCTTCTGGCCGCAGCACCGGATCTCGTGTCAAAGAGATAGACTCGGACGACAAGCCACTTGTGCCTGCTCTCGGCCGCCGCACCCCGAAGAAACTGGAAAGTTCCTCGGCCAAGTCTCTCCTGCCTACCCCTTCTTCTGGCCCAAGCACTCGATTTCGTGCCAAGCTGCCAGAGAGAGATTCGGACGACGAGACTCTGGTGCCCCCCCGTGTCTCTGTCCGCGCCACCCGCTCCCGTGGCAGGGAACCCTCCGTGGCCAGTGGTAATAAGTCCGGCGCTGATAAAAGTAATTAATATATTTATTATCTGTAACTTTACTCCCTTTCTCTTTGCTGTGCTTAACGTTGTGTATTTGATAATGTGTTGTGGTATCGTTAGTTTCCGGCTGCGTAACCCCTTTTTTTCTGCCCCCTTGCCCCTTTTTCGGTCGTCGCCAATTATTTGCATCAACCTTCCATCAAGTAACATCCAGACAAACTCTTTAACCATACCAATCGTTTTCATATTGTTAACGCAATTCCATACCCCCAGGTTCGAACAAGGTCCTTGCTAAAAAGAGGGCCGCGGCAAGTCCGAACTCGCCAGTCGACAACAAACGCCGGCGTTAAGGCCCTACTTCCGCGCCCGCCAGATCGGTCCCTGTCCACGGGAATGACGAGGCCTCGCCTTCCGATGACGAAGATGCATCGCCTTCCGATGACGAAGATAGATTGGCTTTTGGTCCGAGGTACAATTTCAAGAAAGCCCAACGATTCGCCGAGCAAGTCGATGTGGATAAGGCGCGATTTGAAACCACTCCGCTTTCCGACCGGATGCGAGCGTGGGCTATGGGAGAGCCCATCGATATCTGGGAGCCAATTAGCAGGCAGCCAGCAGTCCCAGGTCGGAATTTCATCCCTTTCGTTTTACCTTTTAGAGATGATGATAATGTGGTCGGCTGGGAACTCTGCGCTCGGCAAAACGGAACCAACCTACGTTTCCTGTCTTTGCCGTCCGCCGATGGGAACCCGTACACACAGAGGGAGGCCATGTTTCTGTGTTCCAAGCTGGTTGAAGCGCTCCAAGTCTGGCCCGACATCAACGACATAACCTCCCCGGTCACCACTGGTCGCAGGACTGTTCCAAGGAACGGCTCTTCTGCAATTGGGGCACTCGCCAGCGCAGCCCACAGAGTGGTGTTTCTTAACCGTACTCCCATTGTCTTTTACGCCGGCTCAATTGTGGTGGGTGCTCGCAAGGGGTTCCGCCTGATGATAAGCCTTCTCCACCCCGACACATTGGTATCCTCACTTCGGAAGAAGTAAGTCAATGCACACCCTGTCGACGCACCCCCCCTGTCGACGCACTCTGTAGGCCCACAACATGGAATCTTTTAAAGTACTCCCGCCCTCATATTTCTGTCAATTCTGGTCCGTTTTCCTTACTTTTTTTTGCATTCTAATGCCCAAATGCCAGAAAAGCAATGTATAGAAGAAGACGTCGAGCGAGCCTTTGCTGCGGTGCGTACAAAGGGCGGGATCCGAAGGGTTGCCCGGTTTTATGGGATCCCAAAGGCTACCTTTAAAAAACGTATAAAAAGCGCCTTATTTATCCAACAATTACAAAAAGGATATTAGCGGATACCTTTAAAGCAAAAAAAGCGCTTGGCTAATTGGATTTTATTACAAAACTTTTTAAATTTCCTACCAACGCATGCGGAAATCCGGTTTTTTGCAAAGGAAATATTCCGGTTTGGGGGTAATTTTTAGCCCTTTGGAAAGCATTAAATTCGTGCTTTTTTAAACCGATATCCGGAAATCCGAACCGGAAAATTAAAGCGCATAAAAAACGCACGCGTTTAAAAAGCTACAATTGCAACGATAACGGAATGGTAATAGCGCTTGCAAATACCGAAAATAGCCTGGATTAAGCCGGAAAATACGTACAATGCCAACGAAAAAGGTTTGCAAAAGGGTAAAACCGGTAATGGGCTTGTTTTAAGCTTTGCTAGCACCCGGCCTTTATAACGTAAAAAACCTGGGTTTCGCACGTAAACTTCGTTTATCGAATGCATTTTGGCCACGGGGGTATCGCTGCTTTTTTTTATTATTTTTAAAGGAAAAAACGTGCAAAAGCAATGGTTTTTTTTTGCAAATTTAAGCCTTTTCCGAAGCTAAAAATTTATTGCTACAAATAACGGTTAAACTACGGATTTTACGAGCTTGGAATGGCTGCAAAAAGTGTTCCTTTTACGCACCCAACCCCTTACCCTTAAAACCCGTTTCTTAATTTTAAATAAGCACGAATTGCACGTTACTAAAAAGTTTATGTTTTTTTGCTTACGGAATAACGTTTTCCTCTTATATTTGCCCGCCCATACCTTACACGTATTGCAACCCCTTAATTTATCGATTTTTAGCCCTTTTAAACAAGCTTACCGCCAAAAAATCTGCTTCCAAACTTTATTTACCTGCTTAACAATAGTAAAAAAACGTTAATTTTTAACGGCTTATGCTTACGCACGATTAAAAGCTTTTATTACCTTTAATATAAAGGCGGGGTAGCGGGCGTCCGGCTTTTGGCCTTGCAATATAGCCAAACCCTTTATAAGCCGCTTTATTTTTAACAACTTTAACCTAGACAACCAACGATCCAAAATTTAACAAGCTGCAAAGGATAACAAGGCCAAACAACGTTTAACAATCCTTTTCCAAGCATTCCAAATACTTTAGGAAACCTTTAAACGATTAAAAAAGTTGGTTACCCAAATTAGCTTTATACAAGCCCGGATACCTGCAAGCCTTACAACCCGGCTTTTTTTTAAAAAGCTTTAAAAAAGCTATAGCACCCGCAAATACGATTTAGCTACCGCCCATTAAAAAATTAAGCAATTAAAAGCCCAATTGGAAATATAGCGGCTTTGCAAAAAAAAAAGGTAGCTATAAATCCTAACAAAACCTTTGTGGATATCCGGCGCGTTGCAAAAACGAAGGGTGCAGTTAAAAAGGAAATGGATGCAACGTTTGAAAGCCCGGAAAATTTTAATTAGGAATTAGCTTTATTTTGCATCGAGGTTGCTTGAATAAAGGTAAAAATTTGCAATTGAATGTAATAGGTTTGGTGTTAATCGGATCCCTACAAAGTGCGTCGACAGGGGGGGTGCGTCGACAAGGTGTGCATTAACTTACCAGCCGATGTTAACAGTAGGGAAGGGCCCGCCATCGATGTTCCAAGCATGGAAGAATATCGTTGGTCGAAGTTGTCGAATGGGTGGCGTCGGGTTCCGCATGCTGCTAATGGAAGCCTCCCGTCGTTTGTCCCACAGCATGCGCCAAACCTGGCCGTTATGACCCGACTGGAGTGCTTCACAAGGCTGTTGCGCTACGAAACCTCGAAATTGGGCTTCATAACCCCCCATAATCTGGACCAGATGAGCAGCATCCTACTCGAACGAATCAATGCTGGAAGCCCCTTCGCCAAGTGTTACAAGGGATGTTCCTTGATGGCAACTAACCGCTTCCACTGCTTTGATACGTCAATTGGGGTTGCAGTACGACTCATGAAAAACATAGAGCAACCATGGACTGTACACCTCTTTCGTATCCGCTCCCCTGACAAATCGTGGTGTTCATCAATTCTGGCCATCGGGAACTCAACCTGGCCTGTTACAACGTACACAACAATCATCGAGGGGGAAACCAAGACGGTTGTTAAGACGAACACTATCACGGTCAAAATAACCGATGCGATCACGGTAACTGAAACTCGACCGGTCACCAAGCACGTCGACCAAACTGTCTCTGTAACGGGCACTGTCAAAGAAACAGTCGTCGAAATTTAAAATAAGCAAGGACCGGTTTGTTGCTTTATGGGGTAAAATAGGTTTTAACGGTTTTAAAAGCCGTTTTTCGAGTTAGTTGTTACCTTTACCCTTTACCGGTAAAAAGCTATCGTTTTTCCCAATCCGTATAAAGCCGCAATAAGGATTGCCCGCGCGTGGGGAGCTTTTGTTACGCATTTGCTTCGCTTTATACCCGTTTTTTAAAGCATTTAAAATTAAAAACCTATGCGCGCTTAAATTTAACCCGTTAATTAAATCCTTTGCAATTTTAACCTTTGTAATTTCGATAAAACCTGGCTTTTTTACCCCCGGTTTTAACTTTAGTGCTTAGTAACGGAAATGGGTGCTTAAAAATTTTCCGGTTAAAAAAGCCCCAGCGCATTAGCAATTCTTTTTCGGTTTGCAAATGGTTTTTCCGATTTGTTATGTTTAATTAGCAAATTATAAATTATTACGTTGATTGGATCCTTTTTTTGCTTGCTTTTAAAAAAGTTTTTTTTATTAAATTTTACGTTTTTTGTAATTATTATTTTTTTTAACGAAATTTAAATCCGGTAAATGTTGGAAATTTGGTAATTAATTAAATATTTAATTTTAATACGAAAATTAACTTTAAAGTGCTTAAAATCCGCATTATGTAATTTTTTTATATCCAAAGGGTAAGCTTTGCACCCGTAAGCGTAAATGCCGTTCCAATTTGGTTTTAAATTGGCCGTTAAGCTTGTAAAAAGCTCCAAAGCGTAATACCGAAACCATTTTCAAAATTAATTTAAAAGGATATCGTTATAAACGCGTATGCTTTTCAAAATTAAAAGGTTTATATTTTTTGGCCAAACGGCAGCGTAAATTGCTTTTGGCTAAAAATGCTTAAAAAGTTCCGCGCTTACGAGCATGCGTATTTCCCGCGTAATAACGTTTTGTCCCGCGCGTTCGATTATTCCATTAAATTCGTAAATATATAACGGTAAAATTTTAATAACAATATTTTTAATTTAAACCCATTTTTCGTATTGGAAAAATCCTTTAATGGGTATTAAAAACTTTTTTAATTGTATTTAAATATAGCAATTTGCAATTCGTATTATTTTTTAACCTATGCTTTCCATTTTTTTAAAACCGTAATAATTATTAAGCCTTTTTTGTTTGGGAATGTAAAGCTTTAAATTTTGCCGTTATATTTATCCAAAAGCAATAACACCCAGTTTTTTTTAATTTTAATTTAAGGTAATTAAATAAGTTAAGCCAAACCTTTTAAAAAAAGCGTAAAGCCTTTTTTATTAAGCGTTTAAAAACAACGGCGGTAGCGTAAGTCGTTGCGCACGCTTTACACTTAATGCGTTTGGGTCCTTTAATTTTAACGTTTCGAACGTTCCAAACGAAAGCTTCCAGCGTTTGTAAGCTTAAATGCCCGTTACGCAAATGCTAAAATTTGCGAAATTTTTTTTTGGTTTTGTAAAGTTAAAGGATAAGCGCTATAAATGCGTAACACGTTTGCAACGGGAAAATTTGTTAATTGCAAAAATTAACATTATATTACCGAAATGTAAATATAGCGTAATTAATACAGAATAAATGGCAATAAGCTTGTATTCGAAAAACATTACTTTATTTTTACGCTAAAAGCGTTTAATTACTTCCCCGTTAGCAATTTCCCCAATGCGCAAAATTGCGTTTTTACCGTAAAACCATACCCTTTTAGCGTTTAAACGAGCTTTTAAAATAATATTAACGTAAAAGCCCTTTACTAAAGAAACGTTATAAAGCTTAAAATCCCCGTTCCCGTTTAAAAAGCTAAAAAGCGTACAAATGCTTTATTCCGAAATTGGGAAGTATTAAATGCCGCATTAAATTATTGTTGCAAGCAAAAGGGATAAGCACGGTGTAAGGCTATTCCGGTTAATATGCTTTAAGGAAAAAAGGATTTAAAGTGCAAAGCTCCGTAAAAGCTTTTGCCCTTTATATACACGTAATTCCCGCGTCCTCCTTGCTTACTAAGCTTTTTTTAATGCCTGGAAGCGTTATACGCTTTTAAGCAAAAGGACCGCTTTTTCGATGCTTTAAACATTTGCTATTTACGTTTAAAACCTTTCCTTTACAATATATACTATTTTTTTTGTAATATACCCTTTAAGCAAACCTTTTAAGTTGCTTGTAAATAATACAAAGGAAAAACGGGTTGCTATGTAAATGGCGTTGGTTTTAAAAGCTTACCGCGCTTCCAAAAATAACGATAAAATATTATTCATTTTAAAAAATAACGAAAAAAGTGCTTCCCGTTCCTAAAAGTAACGAAGCAAACGCTTTAGCTACAAAAAGTAACGAAATAAACGCTTTAATTACAAAAAGTAACGAAATAAACGCTTTAGTTACAAATAAGCGTAACGGGTTAAAAACTTTTTTTTTCCATTTTGTCCTGGCTTTTTTTTTTTTTTCGTTATTACCTTTTTTTTTAAAGCGTAAATTCCAATTTTTTCGTTCCGACCGTACTAATCCATTGCTAATTTTAAAATATTTGCAAATTTAAATTAAACAATTGTAAATTTTTTGCGCGGTAGCGCAATATTTTGGAAACGTTATGCGGTGCTAACAAATTGGCTAAAAAATAAAAAATTTTAATAATAAAAAAACGCGCGCGGTTACCCGAAAGCGCGCCCGGCGCAAAAAAAAACACGCGGGTTTAAACCCAAAAAAAATAAATTAAAACGTTTTGCTTTTTTACCAATTTGTTACGCTTTTATTAACTTTATTTTGTGCGCGTATAAAACGGATTTGCAAACGGTTATAATTGCTTTTGCAGCTAAAGCTAAGCAAACGAATAAAGCGTTATTTAAAAAAAAATGCAGCAAACCGAAAAAAAGCAACGGAAAAAAGCGCTATTTGCAAAAAAAATAAGCAAAAGAATTTAAAAAAAGCGCAAAAGCAACGGGCTGCCCGCGATAAAGCTTAAAATAACGCTTAAAAAATAAAAGCGCGTGCGCTCGCTAAACGCGTTAAATTAAATAAAGCTAATTGGGCTTGTACTTACGCTAAACGAATAAAAGTTTTAAATCGTTTTTTAAATTAAACCCCAATTAATACTTACGTACCCGTTTTCAAACTTCCGCTTGTTTCGGTTACTTTTCGTACGCTTGTTAAAAGCACGGGCGAAACCGCCCGGCAAAAAGCGGGGGGCGTTAAAAAAACGGGCGAAACCGCCCGGCAAAAAAGGAAAAAAGGGGCGCTAGCAGCCAGCCGGGCACGGACCTTCCCGGGAACATGCCGGCAAACTACCGGTATCGCGGCCAAAATATAATGGCAAAGCTAAAAAATAAAGTAAAGTGTTAAAATTAACAAGTCATGTAAGGTGCTACCCTGCACCTACCCTGCACCTACCCTGCACCTACCCTGCACTTCCCCACGTTAATTAACATAAGTCAAATCTGGAGGCCGAACGCGGAAATCGTTTTGGTGGCCGTGGGTCGATTTTTTGCAATCCCCATACAAAATAATATTGCGGAAAATCGCGCGCGGTACCGCAACCCTTTAAAGGGGAAAACCCTCAAAATTAACGTTGGTGGGTATATAAGGAAAGGCACTAAATTAGCACCCTTTCCCTGGAATAACACTTATTTTTAACAATTAACGTGGGCTTGTTAGCATTATGTTATAATGCTTAACAAGCCCGACCCTTGTAAACGTAACCTTATAAATTGCTATAATCGTACTGCAAAGCCCCAATTTGGACTTTGTAATTTAACAAGTGTTACAAAGTAAACAGTATATACTGTTATGAGGAAGCTTTAAGCATAAATATTAAATGCTTAAGGCATTGGAAAAGCGATCCCTTTGCTTGGAAGCGTATAACGCTTCCAGGCGTTAGGAAGGAAGCTTAGTAAGCAAAAAGGACAGGGAGTTACGTATATATAAAGGGCAAAGGCCCTTACGGGACCCTGCACTTTAAATCCTTTTTTCCTTAAAGCATATTAACCGGAATAGCCTTATACCGTGCTTATCCCTTTTGCTTGCAACAATTATAAGCCCGGCGATTTTTAAACCTTTTAACGTAAAGTAAAAGGTTTAGCAATACGGATTTATTCCCTTTTTATTACTTTTATTAAATCGTTCCTAAACGCGCTTTTTTAAGCGCGTTTATCCTCCTTTTCCTTTCCGCGATTTTTTTACGGAAAAATTTTTACGCTTTTAAAACCTCTTTCGATAAAATTTTTTTTGCCGAAACAAATTCCGTTATTAATCCCGAACGTTGCCAAAAACCTTTGTTAAATTCCATTTTTTTAATTTTTACGTTTTTACGCTTTTAAAGCTTTTAACCCTTTGTTTTTTACCGTTTTACTTTTACGAATTTCCGGTTGCTACCAGTTATGGGTAGTACGAATAACGATTTTTTCGTAATAGCGTTGCTTAAAAATTAAAAGCAATGGTTTACGTAATTTACGGCGCTACGTTAAAACGCATTAATCCTAAGGATTTGGAACCAGGTTAATTTTAATTTAAAGTCCCCGAACGACGTGCAGGCCGACGAAACCCTGGATTTTAATTCCTTTGCAGCAAAAGCCCGGGCCGAGCACGTTAAAAACTAT